CCCCCCCCCCCCCCCCCCCCCCCCCCCCCCCCCCCCCCCCCCCCCCCCCCCCCCCCCCCCCCCCCCCCCCCCCCCCCCCCCCCCAGCAGATGCATTCGTCTTCTTCTAAGACTATTACTACTTATTCCGTATAACTACCTGACATTAGAGGTATAAGACCTCAACCGCTATTCAAAATATCATATCCTCCGGATTATTCCCGTTCCAGTCGCACACGAAGTCATCTATTGCCGCATTCGCAGCCCCATCATCCGCCGCAGCTGCAGCGGACATGGCATCCATGATTTCCCCAGCGGAATTCTGCTCCACGATCTCAGGTTCTTGCGGTAGCGGGGGGTCCGCCCACATACTGTCAACCGCTGGATACGCCGAGGAAAAGAAGGCCGGGAGGTTCTCAGCGGGCGCCACATCCCTGATCCAAGGTTCTTGGACCATCGGGGCGTCCTCCCATATACTCTCAGCCGCTGAATACGCGGGGAAAGAGAAGGCCGGGAGGTTGTCAACGGTTTCTACAGCTTCGGCGCTGTCTTGCCCACGCTCTTGTAGGCGGCAGGGGATTCCTGCCTCGACGCGTTGGTCGATGGTGTACTCGTTGAAGCCGGCAAACGGGGCGGCTTCGAACGCGAAGTTTTCCTCTGATGAGGAGTTGGTGGTGGTGGTGGTGGTGGTGGTGGTGTCAGGGGTTGGTACCTGGAGTACGACCACAGGTCTAGCCTTGGGAGGTCTTCCCCTCTTCTTTGGTACCTGAACCTCCACCACGGGCTTAGCCTTGGGAGGTCTGCCCCTCTTCTTTGGTACCTTGGGTACCTCGTCTTCCTCCCCTGACTGCCTCTTCCTCTTGGTAGGCGCGGAGGGAACGGGGACGGAGGGAGTTGTTGGCCATGTTGGAGGTATCTCCCCGTAATCATCCCCTGTGAGGTCGAAATACTGACCGTTTGTAGTAGCATCAATGACGCCACCCTGCTGCTGATACCTAGGCGTAAAGTGCCTCCTAGCATTTTGAAACATAGGCTTTGGGACGAAAGCAGAAGAAAAGCAATTAGTAGCAGCGACGCCAGGAGTGCTCACGGCGCCGGGTTGTGACCTACCCGGCATGTGAGAGTAGTATTGCTGGTTGGGGACGGAACCAGCAGGGAAGCAGTTAGTGGCAGCGACGCCGGGAGGAGGGAGCTGTTGTGGCATGCTCATCTGTTGGGGCTGGTAGGTTGGCCTTGGGGCAGAGATGTTGATCCACTGGTGCAAGCTTGTACTCCACATGCGCTGGTGTTGGGTTGCGGTGTAGGTGGAGTAAGACATGTTCGTGTGTGTGGATGGCTTTTGGTATGTGTGGATGAGTGGTGTTGAGGTGGTGTGTGTGTGGGTGGAGAGTTTGGTAGTTCAAGATACTTTTGAAAGTTGCGATGGTGAAAGTAATTTGGTCTGAGAGTTTGAGATATTAGGAGAGACGGAAGGGGATATCAGCTATTTATTGCAGCGCAGGAAAGAAGATGTTCGGACTGCGATATATCATAAACTTGGTTCATTTTGAGGTGTTTTCATGACTGTATGCTATGGATGTAACAGCGGTGTTGGAGGCCGAGCACATAGGCGCAATCAGACCAGTAGAGAGCATGGCAATTACCTGAGAATACATGGAAGCGTCCTCCCAGGCATCCATTTGTCGCTTGGACCACAAGAACAAGCCTATCGAGTTGATGTCCATTACGCGCGACCTCGCACACATGATTGATCTGTGACTCTTTTCAAAATTGCCTCGAGCCGAGCCACTATGCTAACCGCTTGTGTCGGGGCCACAACCCGTGATGGTACCAAAATCCCCTCGAGTCCAGCTTCCGGCCCAAGGCACCCATATCACGCGGCAAGGCACGGATATTCTGCTCTTCCATGAGCTCCCCCACCCGTTTAGCGAACTCCTGGCGCGTCTCCACTTCTTCCTTAGTCATGGAGGATTCGGTCATGGAGCTGAAACTCATGATGAGGTCGAACCAGTCGTATACGCGCATATCAGCAATGATCCAGCGCTTTCCCGGCGTAAACTTCCGATGGGTTGCGATTATGGCTCTTGCGACATCTTCGCCGTGGATGAAGTGCACAGCGCCTCGCTTAGCAACATCGTCTTTGGACTGGCCGAGGCGAGGCAGCCATCTCGCGGGGACGCGCTCGCCGCCGTACAGACCCGATAAGTTCAGCACACAGCCGTGGAGCGCTAGCAATTCGTCTTCCGCGATAGCTCGCTTGTCCTCCTTGTCGTATGGCGCGTCATCAGCGCTCCAGTCATTGGGCAGTTTATTGAAGATACCCGTGGATCCGAGCTGCACCCAATTGTTCTTTGCGCCGTGAACGGAGCGGTAGAGCCCTACGATGGTCTTTGACTGCGAGTGCCCCACCAATGGAAAAGTGATGATTACGGTTTGCGCCGCTGGCAGGCGCTTGTATGGCTCCGCATCACCAGATTCGGGGTCGAACTTGAACGGAATGGTGTTGTCTCTTCCGCTGGTGGTGGTTGCGGCATACGTAATATCGGTGTCCTCCAGTTGCGGAATCAGGAACGTGGACGTCCATCCGGCGCCCAGAATCAGTAGGTCCACCTCTTTCATTTGCTCGCGTAGCATTCTGTGTTGCGGGTGTGGCGATTATTGCCGTGAAAGATGTAGCATACACGAGAGATCTGCTGTTTGGGTGTTATAATTTTCAAGAGGTTGAGCCAATGGGTGACACAAGGTGGGAATCACAGCTGGCGTTGTCGTATGAAGTCGTGACGTCTCCACACGAGCCAAATTAGCTTGCATTCCGCACGGCCCATCTGTTCGGCGCAACCATCCGCACGGGAATTCTAGCTAACCTGCAGGAGGCTGATGTTACTTATTTGAAAGCCTACATACTTCAAACTCTTCCGGGCTATATGAGATCATGGACTGTGTATGCTGCATCTCAAGGTAGAGGTAAGTACTATGTTGAAAGCGACGAAGATACCTAGGTACTCTGGGTTTGGCCTCTAGAAACTTGGTTCTAGAGGTGTCAATCCAGCCTTGAGAATCCAATGGGAGCAAGTTGAATTATAACCATAGCAGGCGCCATCTCAGTCTAGATGACAGTTTCGCGATTAGGTAAATTGCAGAGACGTGGATTGTCGCAAATCTGCTTTCAATCGAAATCTGGAATTGACGTCATGTGCGGGAGCTTGTTCTCACGTGCCAGCGCGGTTAACCCATTACATCTGAAATGCGCTGATTGGCTGCTTCCACTTCCAGGGGCCGCGTCTTCGTCATCACTATGAGCTGCGCATCAGCCCGCGAGCTCAGACAATCTGTCGTAAAGATCAAAGATCATTCGCTCATTGCATGCTGTTTGCGCATTCCAATTGATCATCCAATGCGAACATCACGAGTTTCCCGAGACGCGTCCCGCGTTGTCGCAGCGAGTCGCACGCAACGAGCGTTACGTCAGACACGAAGCGCGACCAATGCGCCAGCTCCAGTCAAACGCGAGCCAGGTAGCGACGAGAATGCTGGATCAGATTCAGACCTCAGCTCTGCGCCAGCGGACTCCGCCTCGGATGGCGAGACGCGACGAATGCCTATGAAGAGGAAAAGAGGTCAGGACATGCCAATCATTGTAAAGAAGGAGGTAGAGGAGACATCAATCACTACAATCGCGTCGCCGAAGAAAGTTGCCAAGGTCAAGAAAGCGCGTCGTGCGCCTGCGAAGAAGATCAAGACCAGCGATGGAACTGTCACGATGGAGCCACCTGCGAATTGGGAGGAGATATATACCCTAACGAGAGAAATGCGGAACGAGAACCTCGCACCGGTGGATACTATGGGTTGCGAGAGCCTAGCGAAAGACATCAGGTCGCCTCGCGATCGACGGTTTCAAACGCTCATTGCTTTGATGCTGAGCAGCCAGACCAAAGACACTGTCTTAGCGCCTGTCATGCGAGGCATGCAGGAGAGGATGCCTGGGGTATGTGATCCGAGGCTATATGGCCATTCCCAGCTAACATAGTGCAGGGCTTCAACCTCGAATCGGTCCTCGCCTTAGAACCCCCCGAACTGAACGCGTTCATCAACAAAGTCGGCTTCCACAACCTCAAGACCAAGTACATCAAGCAAACGGCCGAAATATTGAGAGACAAATTCGACGGCGAAATTCCAGACACTATCGAAGGGCTGGTGTCGCTACCGGGCGTCGGACCTAAGATGGGGTACCTGACGATGAGCGCAGCTTGGGGCAAAACCGAGGGTATTGGTGTCGATGTCCACGTCCACCGCATAACCAACCTATGGGGCTGGCACAAGACGCAGCAGCCAGAACAGACGCGTGCAGCACTGGAGTCATGGCTACCAAAAGACAAGTGGCATGACATTAATAACCTGCTGGTGGGCTTTGGGCAGACAATATGTTTGCCCGTGGGTAGGAAGTGTGGCGATTGCAAGTTAGCGGAGAGAGGTCTCTGTCCTTCGGCAGTCGTAGCCAAGAGCACGAAAGTCAAGAAAGAAGCTGTTGTGAAAGTAGAAGCTCCCAATGGCAGCGAAGAGGCGGTGGTGAAAGAAGAGAAGGTGGTGGCTGAAGTCGATGAGATCAAAGCAGAAGATGTGGAAGTTGCGATAGACATAGAAGATATTGGGCAGGCGCCACGAAGAAGGCTGCAGAGGAAGAAGTAGTAAGTAGCCCTAAAACCTATCTTGAAGCCATAGCACGGCGTCTGACCTTCAAATCAGAAGCGCACACCTTGAACACAGTGTTACGTTTTGTCGCGTTGGTTTGGTGTTTAGCAGCAAACGCTCTAGTATGGTCCTGGAGTGGGCCCTTTCGTCATGCAGACATCGGGACCACATCGCGCCTTCCAGTCTTCACCAGGCAACGACACGCGTTCGAGCTCTTGTCTTCATTCCTTAGTCTACTCACCGTGAACTTCTGCGAGCGTCCCTAAACGAGTGCTGACAGCGCTTCTGTCACATCATCCTACAGGCAATTCACTGCACACCAGCCAAGTGCTGCCTGGTCAAGCACGGTCTTTGGTCCCTGGCGACCTCTTCCGTGGTACTCAAATACGTTCCCCCACGCCTACTTAAGCATTCGCGATTGGCCCACCCCTCAACCGCACCTGAGAAGAGAAATTCCACCGATCTCACTTCCGCAGACGCAGCCCACAACGCCGCTGCACCTACACCACAGCAGCTAACTACCACAAGGCTCAACGACCAGCACCCACTACGACACCATCCACCACTGTGGGAGCCAGCGACATGCCATCTCGACCAGAATACGAGGCGTCTACTCGGAGTCAGTCACGACGTGAGGGCCGTTGCGCTGCATCCGAATCAACAGAATCCGATCCTGCATACGTCCCCATACTCCAACGCGCCTTTCCGCGCGTCGCGATTCTACTGACATGCGTCACCTACCTCGCATCATCGTTCGCAGCTGTCTATGTCGGATTCCACGGCATAACGAACATGATATATCCTCGACATAACCAAGCGGTCGACGAGTATATGGCGCTTTCAACATCCAAGTACACAGAGGACGCACTGTACAAGAATTTGGATACACTTCTCTCTAGCCGACTAAACCGCGGCTTCATGGAGACTCATGAAGACTGTCTTGTCCGCGGTCTAAAGGAGGCCAACTACGAACTCTACGGCCTCGGCTTTCAGTACCCTGACATGCGCACGCAGGTCATGGACTGGACGATGGAGAACTGTGGTAGACTGCAGTATACGCCACAAGTGGTGATACAGGATCCAACCCCACAGCAGGCTGTGCTGACATACTGGGCTGATGCGAGCTATCGCTCTCGCCGCATGCTTGAGGGAGCTCTGGGAGCCTTGCAGCAGCAAGCTCGTCGTTTCTGGAATCTACTTTCGAGCGCGTTCACGGATAGGAAACCATCTCCCATCACTGAACACGTTCCTGTTAGTGCCAATACTAGCGGAACACTTCCTCTGAGTCGAGCCCTGCCTAAAGTACCGTTCGGCTTCGCTCTACGCTGCGAGCCCACCGAACCATGCCGCCTAGTCTACCCGTCTGGTTCTTCAAAGCGTGCAAACAAAGTCGGCATCTCACGCGAGGCCCTCGCGAAGCTCAAACGCAAGATCAAAGAAATGCGGGACGCCAACCGCCAAATCAAAAAAGCTAAATGGGCTACGGAGCAGGTTGTGGTCTTTTTCGACTACGTCCACGCCTCTATCTTGGTGGTCATGTTTGCGATCATCTTCAGTGTGGCACCGTTCGTCATACCCAAGGCCGTTCGCCCTCCTCCCCCTTCCCGCAAGACGGAACAGATCAAAATCATGCCCGCATCCCTGCATTTTTGTTTTGTAGGGAGACTGATACAAGAGCTGTTGTTTTCGTACCCAATACAGCTCCCGTATGGCGCCCGGTGGGCAACGCCCTTCCAGCTCTACTTCCTGTTCGTTGGTAACACGATGCTTCTTCAATTCTTCATCACTACCTGGCCGTGGTTCGAGAATGTCAACCTCGCATATAAGCAGATCAAAGAGCTCTACTTTATCGCCCGAGGGTGGGAGGTACCTGACGGAGCGATGGACAGCATGTTGACTTGGTACGGAATCCACATTCAGCCGGCGGACCCCAAGCCAAAGCCTACAGAGGTTCCTGGTGGAACGATGGATAACATGTTCAGTTGGTGCGGACGCTTTGAAGCGGCGGACTCCAACTTTCAGCCTCCGGAGGTACCTAGCGGAGCGATGGACAAGATGCTCTATCCGTGCGGAATCCAGTATCAATACGCGGACCCCAAACCCAAGCCGACGGAGGAACCGGCCACGGTCAAAGTAACCATGTCTTCCCCATCTGATAACCGCCCACAGCACGCGCAGTCGCACCCATCGCACCAGGGTCTGGCCGCTCCGAGCAGTTCACCCCAAGAAGGTCCCGAGGCGCACTTCAAGAAGGTCCAAGAGGCGTCAAAAGTTCAGCCGGCCGAGTATATCGATGTTCCGGAAATCGGATCCGTCGTCGATACTGACAGCGAGACCGAGTCTGAGGACGAGCATGGTAGCTTCGTCGACCTGGCCTGTGGCGTTACGCCTCAAGTCAGCGATGTGGAATCCGGCTGGTCTATTGTGGATGCTTAGGAAAGGCATGAACATCTAGTATGGAATATGACACGGTTGTTGTCTCATGGCACGTAGCACGGGAGTTGTCAGGCATGTCGGCGCTAGAGCTGTTCCGTTTGGCGCGTGTGGTGCAAGTATGGTATATGTACAAGAACATGGTTCTTTTCACATGGCGATCGATGTCGGCCGTAACGGCTGTCAATATCTACTATTAGTGTCAGATCAATATAAATGATAACTTTCATGTTGTGGCCTATTCGTGACCATGAAACCCAGAAATGTCGAACAGGAAGATGAGATGGTAGTAAGGTTGAAAGCCAGTGAAAGTTGCTACAATCTACGCCTCTTGAGGCCTTGCCTACTCGGGACTTTGTTGATTTTACTCACAAGGTAGGGTGGTGGTGACAGGCCGGGAGGGTGAATAGGAAAACCACCACAATCCACGGTTTTTGCGACGAGTTACTTGTTTAGGAAGGAGTTCGATGTGAGATGAGATGAAAGGGAGGTGGAAGCTAGACTGCTGCATCGAGCCCAAAGAGCATCACAGCGAACTCCGTGACTAGAGCAACAATTCTTCAGGAAAGTAACATTAGAAGTACACTACACTACCACATCCTAGATCTAACGACCAACTAATCTCAAACCCCGCTCCAGAACTCCAGCGCTTTTGCAAATCATCCTACACATCCCCCTCTATCTATTTCTTCCCATTTCCGTTCCCGTTTCCATTCCCATTCCCCACACCAAGACACTTCCCCGCGTCTTCCAATTCCCCCAACACCCTCATCTCAAGCTCACTCAGCGCATCCTCACCTGATCCCTTCCTTTGACTCAGCATCTCCAACTCGCGCTCGTCGACAGCAACGATACGTTCGCGTAGCGCACTCTTACGGCTAAGCCAGCTCTCGACATCTTCCTTGATGTTTTCCCTGTCCCAGTCCAGGAGGGCGACTTCGTTGGCTTGGATACCCAACTTGGGTCCTTGTTTGCGTACGTTTTCTAGGATGCTGGCGATGAGGGAGAGGGAGTGGACTTCCGAGGCGACGGTCAGTGTGATTTTGGTGGCTGATGTGCGGGACGAAGGGTTTGAGTTTATGCTTAGGGCTGAGCGGGCGAGTTGCTCGGGGAACTGGTTGAGGAAGGATGATATTTCCGCGGCGATGGGCGGGCCGACGGAGAGGAGGAGGTTGAGGCAGAGGGGCAGGATGCCTTTTGTCCAGATGCTGTACATGCGGGATGGGTTGTTGAAGGGTCCCATGCCGTTGGTGCGTCGGTAGTAGTTCATGATGTTTGCGGTGTTGAGTTGGCTGAGTATACCTTCCACGGCCATGGTCTCGGCGAGGGCTGAGATGCTGGATAGAGAGAGTAGGAAGAGGACGCTGAGCTCGCCGTAGATGGGGTCGTCGACGCCGTTGTGGGAGATTGTTAGGCGGTCGGCCCATGAGAACAGACTGGTGGCGTAGCGCACGGTGTTGCTGTTGGCGAAGAGGAGAGCGGCTTGCTGTTGCCACTTCGACATCTCTGGTATCGCGATGATGCGTTGGAGAAGCGCAGTGAGGAGAGCGAAGTCAGATGGCGAGACGGATGCGGGTTCGGCGTGGAGTTGGTTAGCCAGGCTGCGGAAGCCCTTTGCAACCGTGTCTGACAGAATCTCGAGGAGTTGGGTGGAGATGGGTTCCGTGTATTTGTTGTGGCTTGTGGGCATTGTGCCGCGGAAAGAGGAGCGGAAGGATGCGTCGTCTGACGTGTCCGTGTCTTCGATCAGATGGAAATGAAGGGCGAGGTACAGGATTCGTAGCAGAGACCGGTAGTAGTGCACAGCGTCAGTCGAAAACACGTTCTCGAAGTCGGGCGTAGAAGTGCGGATGGCGTTCCATACTGGAGCGAGTAGTTGGCGTGCCTCGGTCGTTCGTACTTTGGCCTCCACCAGCTTCTTAAGCAGTGCGAAAGCCAAATCTGCTCGCAGTACCATGAGCTGGCCAAACAACGCTTCCGGAAGATTCGATTGTTGATTGGCAACCATGCACTTCTGAATGACACCGACAAGGACCTTGACTATGCGCTCATCCTTTGCTACGACTTGGCTCAGCTCAAGAGCCAGTAGCTTCCAGCCTTGGAGCAGTAGGACTTGAGACTCAACGAGGCCAAGGTTGTAGTTGGCCTTCTCCACTTCGGCAGCGAAGCCCGTACCTTCTCTAGGACCTGTCCATTTGCTGTTGAAGCCCAAAAGCTGTTGAGCAAGGTCGATGTCGTAGAAGAAGGCGCGCCCAAAGGTCTCCGGGTAGAGTGTGGTTCGCTTGAGGTTTCCTAATGAGACACCAGGATACTGTTGCTCGAGGTTCTGTTTGAGATAGCCGTGCAAGGATGTACTGTATGACGGTAGCTCCAAAGCAGTATCTTCCAGGTATGTCAGACTCGGCACAACATCCTTGAGCACAGTGATGTCGCCCACTTGCCGCGAGCTGTGGAGATACATGGCGATGACTTCGCATGCTAACGACGCAAACCTGTTCTGGAAAGAGCGCTCCAGTGTCTCGCTATTGCTGCTCATTTTTGGTTGTTTGGGTTGCTTGGCCATCCACTTCAGGAAAGCAAGCAGCTTCTGGATCAAGTCTTTACGTTGCCTTAGGTCACCCATCGCCCACGACCAGTTGTTCTGCGCTGATGAAACAAACTCAAGCATGGCAGTGTAAAGAGGCCATGAAATCCCACTCGCGTCTTTCTCGGGCAAAGCCATGCTAGAAAGCGAATCGAGTGCTCGCGTGAGGAGAGCTTTGTTTCTTGAGTCATGGGTCGCATCCTTCTTGGAGCGAATCGACTCGCGAGGTGTGCTACCAGTGAGCAGGTACAACGAGAACCATTGCTGCTTGCACGTTACTACAGCCGAAAGCAAGTTCCAGACGTTCGTCTGAATGTCGACTATTTGCAATGGCTCATCTAGTTGTGACAGCACACTCAAGAAGTTCTTTGCAGTCCGTGGTCCAAGGTGACCAAGTAGGGAAGGCGGTTCTTGCTGTTCAATCTGTTTCCGGGCAGTCTGCTTTGGGTCTCCGTCTGCCATTGCTGAGTCTTCTTGTCCAGCGACCCGAACAGCACCGCGTACAAGAGCTTCCAAAAGGAGCACGACCTGCGACTTCCACTTGTCACTGGTCGCATATAGTCGTGCTAATAATGGCGTAGCTTTGAACAACTGCTGCTCCAGGTGTGTCCAGGGCTTGTTAAGTAGTATTGCAACCCTGACAAGGACATCGGCGAAGGCCACAGTAGTTTGCGTCTGCTGCATCCACAAAGCACTCGAGGTCGTGAGCAACGTGATGTCACTGGGGCTGACACCAGTAACCAGAGATGTCATCAGCGGATTCGTTGGAAGATCTGCACCAGATCGCGTAAGGTATAGCTGGGTAAGGTACTCAGCGATGGGCGCGATAGATTTGGCAAGTTTAGCAGATAGCTTGGGCTCGTCGTCGACGCTGTACGCAAGGTTCAAGATCGTTGTGAAAACCTCGCAGATAGCGATATTGATCTCAGGACGGTGGTTGGGTTGGGAGTATTTCCAGTTCAAAGAGCTCTCGTATATGCTGGCAAGGGTCCGGCCGAATGTAAAGAGAATGGTGCTCATGATCTTATCCGACGTTCCGCTTTCTGAAGGCGCAGATGCATTGAAGCGACTAAGTGCTTTTGTCGGCACTTTGCGAGACACCGATCGCTCAACGGCATCCTTGACGAGCCCCTTGTAAAGTCGAATGCATCCTATGAGGAAGTCATATCGCCCAAGAACCATCTCAGTTCCGATCAGAATAGTCGCCAAGCTTCCGTTGCCGTCGCCTTCTAGCAACCTGCTCCTAGCGAGCCAGGGCCATACCCTATGTGGTGAGACGATGATTAAGGCCTCTAGGAAGTGGGTGCAGTTGACCAGAAGCTCTAGAGAAGCCTCGTTACTAGGCTCCTGGCAGAGGTGAAGCAGCTCCTCCTCGAAAATGGCAAGCACAATGTTGACAGTATCCTGGCTGCTTTCAGCACCGATGCTGATCGCCTCCAGAAGTTCCGCTGAACAGATGCCCTCAGAAGCATGTAAAGAAGAATGCATCAAGTCGGCGAAGAGTCCGATGATCTCGATGACGCTTTCGCGAGATGCGGGTTGCTGCGTGGCGGTTTCGACCTTACTGCTGCCTACAGGGTATGTTGAAAGCAGCTCGACTAGGTACGAAAGTGTAGAGTGGTGATGATGCCATACCGCCACGTAAGGCTGTGAGCTATCATCAACGATAATTCCTTCTGTGCCAGCAGGTATTCCAGACAGGCCGTCAGACTGTGTTGATCTGCCGGAGGTCAATAACCGTCGTTGCCCACGGAAGCTTGAAGGGGTTCCAGTCGAGAAGAGTGGAAGATTGGCTGTAAGCTCAACCCAGTTGGCATTCTCCTCCTCGCGCGTCAATGCATAGTCCCTGAAGCCTTCTGGGAGGCGTTGCATAAGTCGGTTGTGGTTCCCAAGCTTCTCGATGAATGTAGGCATGCCGTTCTGCATGGTCTTGTCCCCGCGTGTCAATGCGCTACAGAATTTGAGGAAGGGCGTCATCTCGTAGGGATAGCGTAGGCGAGCTTCGTTGAGCAGCAGTGGTCGAAGGATGTATTCGTCTTCCAGGAAATACGCAACAACCGGATCAGCATGACGAGAAATCTCCCCATTCTCCCATCTACGGAAGGAGTTATCACCGGTGAGAATTGTGTATGTTGTTACTATCAGATCCGGGCTGTACGCAACAATGTCACTGCCGACTGCGGCGCGGATGAGTTGGAGGAACAGTAGACGAATCCTATCCTGCGATATCTGGTCGATCGATGTTCCAAATGCAGGCAGACTGGTTTCGACTAGCTGGTTGATGATAGCTAGCACACCCACTGCTGAGCTGATATTGGCCAGCTCCTCATAAGGCATCTTGCCGTCGAAGAGCTCATGATTTTCAAGTCTAGCCACAACTAAAGCAGCCTCTTCGAGTGGCGAAGTCTGAGGTTCCGTGTTCCCTGTGTCGTTCGACGCTTCGATGAGACGGTCACGCTCTTGTTCCTCGTAGCTCGCGCGGGTGGTGAGCCTCCAAGTCAGGATAGCCCAGGCGAATGTAGGTGGTGTAGCCGGACTGGCGCCCAACAATTTGGCCTCTCCGAAGATTGTGGTAATGCTCTCTACAACTGTGCCGTTGAGGATGTACGATGAGGAGTCCCAGGCGTTGCAGTTGCCAGACTCGAGGTCGTCCATGATCTTGTCCACCTTCAAAATAGTCAAAGACATTAGTGAAGTCAGTAGCTGTATCACCGGAATGAGAGGTTCCTGGCGAGCCGTGACTGCAGGGAATTCGCGGAAAAAGCCGCGGAAACTGAAGGCTTTGAGCCAGTCCTCGATGGTAGCCGCAGGTAGGAAGTCCTTCGCAACCAGGTCTGCGTGTACCAAGGCCAGGTGAAGGATATGCAGCATCTCGGTAGTCTGCGCGACGACCCATTTCTCTGACGCAGGCTCTAGTATCGATTCGTCGACGTCCCAGCCATAGCCGGTGTCTAAAGCGTCGCATCTTTTGGTGAATGCTTTGAGCAACTCGTCAAGCGCCTTTCCGCCCGAGGGGCCATCTTGCGCCGCTGCGATAGCCTGTCCAAGCTCTTCAATCCAGCCGGCGCCAATGCTAAGGTAGTCGTTGCCGTAGATGGTCTGGCTGCGCAAGTTGGATGCACAGCCCCACGAGACGAGAAGCTGGCTGATGCGTATGATGGACGCGCACGTCGAATGGTAGACGTCGAGGATGTGGAGGCGGCGCTGGTCCTTTGGTTCGAGATGCGCGGTCTTGGAAGCGAGCGGTGAGGTCATGATGGATGAGTTTGGGACGAAGGTCGAGGCGCCTAGATTTCCGACTCCGGCGGCTTCCTGTACGCTGAGGGCCTCCTCTTCAGTGAGTCCACTCAATAGCTGTGCGGTTGGCCTGCCTTGCCATTCCTGGACGACCAACTGCAGCGCTGCATATTCTGATATCTGCGCCTCTTTGGCCAGCCACAGGCTGTCGTCTTTGATCTCTGCTACATCGTAGTGTTCGCTCTGTGCGGGCGTGACGCTGATGGGCGCGGTCTTTGATTCGAATTTGCTCTTCTCCTGCGACGACGGGTCGGGAAAGGGCTTCCACGGGTGGCTGAGGATGTCTCTGTTCTCGTTGGCGGTAAGGAAGGCGCGTAGGGCGTCGCTTTTGGACGCGGTTTCGGGGTCGCAGAGGGCGCGGTATGCGATGTCCCAGGTCCTGCTACTGTCAGCTACGTTGCTGCGCTCGATGCAGGTAAACATACACAAGCTGCTGCTCGCCCTTGAGGCACTTGCCCAGGTCGAACTCGGGGGATTGGATGGGGGCCATGGTTGCGCTGCAGTGCGCGAGTAGGAAATCAGCTACCCAAAGGCCATGAAGGTGCTGGAGAGGCGTGGGGGTGGTGTTGCCGAATGTTTGGCGTCAATGGCTACGAAAGTCGCGAAAGCCAAAGCTCACGCGAAAGTCGAGCTAGTACGTGCAGGGATCATCACAAGGGCTCTTTCTTGCGATCCCTCCCGACACCTTGCACACACACTTTTCAATCTTCTGGAAGGAGACCAATTGCGCAGAAACTTATCATCGCCATTTGGTTTTGATCGTAATGGTTCGCGTCGCAATGGGGTTTCGTTTGATTTTCAAGTACCTTCTGCCAACAATACAGCGAGAACTTGCCCGCGGACTGCCTGCACACGGAAAAAGACCTGTCCTCTGGTATATCCAGAATCTGCATGATCTGTTACATTTCCTACATCCAAGAGGTCGCGCAATAGCGGCGTTGCTGTACCAGACATGAGGTACGGTATGGTAGCACTAAGGACCGATTCATGCCACCTCCGTGTTAACTCCGCAGCCTCAATATCTGAATAGTGCATCATTGAGTCACCCCACTACTCTCCTAGACAGCCATTCCTTTCCACCTTTCCGTCCCAAAGTGCACTCACATCTCTCGGTGCGCACTCCGTTAATCGGACACTAATATATTCCAAACGTTGACCTCGCCGTCAAAGGGCCGGCGCGCTTTCTGCCATCTGACCGCCGGAGGGTACTCAGACGAAGCTATATAACAGCCACCGGGCTTCCAACGCGACGGCAACGCTGACGCAGAACCCCGCCCAAGATGCCCGCCCTCGAACTAATCGACCACTCGCCCAGCAATCCCACACCCTCTTCGCCCATCCCCACCGCTTCCAACGTAGTACTCATTGACAACTACGACTCGTTCACCTGGAATGTGTACCAGTACCTCGTCTTCGAAGGCGCGAAAGTGACCGTATACCGAAATGATGAGATTACCCTCGAAGATCTCATCGCGAAAAACCCTACACAGCTGGTAATCAGCCCAGGTCCAGGACACCCTGAGAAGGATGCGGGCATTAGCAATGCGGCCATCAAGCACTACAGCGGCAAGATCCCGATTTTCGGCGTGTGCATGGGCGAGTGAGTTCTCGGTTTCCGGTGGGCGCAACACGCGGGGCAGTGCTGACACGATCAAGACAGTGCATTTTCTACAGCTACGGCGGTACTGTAGACGTCACAGGCCAGGTCCTGCACGGCAAAACGTCGCCTCTCAAGCACGACGGCAAGGGCGTCTTCGCAGGCGTCTCGCAAAACGTCCCCGTTACGCGCTACCACTCCCTCGCCGGCACCCACGGCACTCTCCCAGACTGCCTCGAGGTAACTGCGACCATACCCGCCAACGAAGAAGCCGAAGTCAAGGAAGTCGTTATGGGCGTGCGACACAAGGAATACGTCATGGAGGGTGTACAGTTTCACCCAGAGAGCATCTTGACAGAGGACGGTCGGCTCATGGTGAGGAACTTTCTAAAGATGCAGGGAGGCACCTGGGCCGAAAATGAGCGACTACAGAAAGAGGCACATGCCCAAGCAGTCGGTGCTGGTTCCAACGGCACAGCGACCGGCGCAAAGAAGGACAAGCAAACATCCATACTGGAGAAGATCTACGACCATCGCAGGGCCTCGGTCGCTAAGCAGAAGGAGATTCCGTCCCAACGACCCAGTGATCTACAGGCTGCGTACGATCTCAACCTAGCGCCTCCTCAAATCAACTTCCCCGAGCGTCTCAGGCAATCGCCCTTCCGACTGTCACTCATGGCCGAAATCAAACGCGCATCACCCTCCAAGGGCATAATTTCACTGTCCGCATGCGCTCCCGCTCAAGCAAGGCTGTACGCAAAGGCCGGTGCAAGCACGATATCTGTACTTACTGAGCCGGAATGGTTCAAGGGTAGCATCGACGACCTCAAAGCTGTTCGACAAAGCTTGGAAGGCATGCCGAACCGTCCCGCCGTCCTGCGCAAGGAGTTCATCTTCGAGGAGTATCAGATCCTGGAAGCTAGGCTCGCGGGTGCCGATACAGTGTTGCTGATCGTCAAGATGCTGGATGAAGCAGTCTTGAAGAAACTCTACGACTACTCCCGATCACTTGGAATGGAGCCTCTCGTCGAGGTCCAGAACGCCGAAGAAACGGAGATTGCGGTCAAGCTGGGCGCTCAGGTCATTGGTGTGAACAACCGTAACCTTGTGAACTTCGAGGTCGACATGGAAACTACCAACCGTCTAATCAACATGGTTCCAAAAGAGACGATTTTGTGTGCGCTAAGCGGTATTTCCGGGCCAAAGGATGTCGAACCATACATCAAAAGTGGAGTTGGCGCAGTTTTGGTGGGTGAAGCGCTGATGCGCGCATCCGACACCGCTCAGTTCATCGCGGAGCTTCTGGGTGGCTCATCTACCAAGAAGACGGGAACAGCATCAAACCCGATGGTGAAGATCTGTGGTACTCGCAGTGCTGAGGCCGCAAAAGCCGCAATCGAAGCAGGAGCTGACCTCATCGGCATGATCCTCGCGCCAGGAACCAAGCGAACAGTCACAGCTGAGACAGCTCTGGAAATCTCAGAAACCGTACACAAGACCAGAAAGCCTGTGGTCTCGAAATCCGGGCTGCTTGCTGAATCAAAGTCCGCCACCGATTTCTTTGAGCATGGCGCAGCACGACTGGTGTCAAGTGACAGTCACGCGCTTCTCGTAGGCGTGTTCCGAAATCAGTCACTAGAGTACGTACTTGAACAGCAGCGACTGCTGAATCTAGACATCGTACAATTCCATGGTCAGGAGCCATTAGAGTGGGCAAAGCTTGTCCCGGTTCCTGTCTTGAGAGCATTTAACCCGCATAACCTTGGTATCGGCTCAAGAGGGTATCACGCTCTACCACTTCTGGATGCAGGATCCGGCGGCTCGGGTCAGCAGTTGGATCTTTCAGATGTCAAAACAGTATTCGCGAAAGACGATGGTATCAAGGTCATATTAGCTGGAGGATTGAACCCTGATAATGTTCAATCTACGCTCGCTGGTCTTGAGGAATACCGGGACCGCGTGCATGCTGTCGACGTCAGCAGCGGTGTGGAAGAAGATGGCAAGCAAAGTCTGGATAAGATACGGGCATTCATCAAGGCGGCGAAGAACCAGTAGTGGCGGTTCAAAATACGACTACCGAAGCTGAAGGTGATCTTCGGAATTATCAAATGTAACACAAATGGCCCAGCATTCTTCTGATCTTTGCTTAAATATTCTTAATGGTCCTCTTTTCCTTACGAGTCAGGCAGCTCATAATTTCGATAATGGTGGTTTGTGCCGCCGCAAAAAGCGGCCTGGAGTCGCTTTGTCGGCGTCTCTTACCTCTTGATGGCAGCCGCACGGTCCCGGCAAACGCTATATCACTTCGGCCGCTGCCCACCACCACAAGGTAAGACCGACGAGGGTCTCGCCAGATGTACACCCTCAATCTGGACACCATAAGCCCTCATCTACGTCCTCAAGCAAGTTTACACACTATCACTCCTACACTCTACAATCCAACCACCGCGCCGCTACAATGGGTGTGTTGGACAAGCTTATTATTGCCGTCGTTGGTACCCATACCCATGATGCTAAACAAATCAAAGCCTGGATCGAGCGAAACGGCGGCAAATACTCTGCGAAGATCAACAAGAGCGTCACCCACCTCATCGCCAGTAAAGAGGCATACAAGAAGCCCGCTGACGCTGTACAACAAGCCACCGACCTCAACATCCACGTAGTCAGCTATGACTGGTTCGATGACTCGTTGCAAGCGAAGAAGAAGCTGGGTACTAGGAAGTACACGTGGGAAGTGCTTATGAAAGAAAGGAGGAAGAAGAAAGAGCTCAAGAGGATAGGTACTCTGGCCGATGGCAGTAAGTTCAGGAAAGGCTGTGAGAACATCGAAGGGTTGACTGGATCAGGTACGTCGAAGACATCTCCCGTTGTTGCGAGAAAGCCGAGGAAGAGCAAGAGCTTCTTCTTTGCCACGTCTGCCCCGGTAGTTCCTTCAATCCCCTTCATTTCCGCAAAAGAAGACCTCTTGCGTAGGAGGGCGGAAAGGGAGGCTGCATTGGCTGAAGATGTTGGAGCTGGAGCTTGTGAGGGCCAGGCAAAGAACTCTATTGAAGTCATGGATGACACTCCAAGCCCGGCCAGCCAATCTCCAAAGCCTGTCACTCTTATCAAGGCACCCCTCAAGAAGTCCAAGCCCCCTTCTACCTCTAAGAAAGCCCCACAAGCTAAGATTTCTCACTGGAAAGAGGATTATCACTACTATCAAGATACGGACGGCTTCGAATACAAGATCCTGCTTGTACGCGTGGACAATCCTCCCTACGGCTCTGCAAACGTAAGCTCTGACTGTACAAAATGCTTGCGACACATATACTGACCTCGTACGTCTGCCTCTACAGTACCATATTGGGCTATTGGAGAGTCATACAAAGCCGCATGTGTACTGGGCGCTTGTGCAGTACAAGCCTGCCAAGATCTTACCGGCAGCGGAGAAGGAAGAGAAGGAAGATGTCAAACGACAAGTATCTCTTAGCAGCGAAGAATTTACTCAGCACCCCGAAGCAAATCGTCTACTCTCCCTCATCACCAAGCCAGCTCCAACACCCGAGGCTCCGTACAACGGCGAGCTATGCCCCCGCAGCAGTGACTTCGCTACTGCCATGCGCTCATTCCGCCACGCCTTCCGTGATCTTACCCTCCTCTCCTGGGAAGAACGCTTCGACGACGACAAAACCCTCCAAAAGGCGCGCGCCCAGCTCCTCAACATTGAGCCCTTCTGGTACGGAAAGCCGAAAATGGGCATGCCAATGGGCAAGTAGCGTCCATATCCAGAAGCGATATAAGACACGTACTAACTTCTTTAGGTCGCCTCCCCCAATCACCAGCCATGTACACAGGCACAACCTCCGGCCTCGAAGTCCTCGGCGATATATCCGACACCTACGTCCGCGGTACCTCTCTCCTCCCCTCCATATCCCACCTTCTCACCAGCCACGGCTTCATCGGCGGTCCCATACATCGCGACGCCGAAGATGCGCGCAAAGCTGAAGAAGCCCGTCTCCAAGCTATCGCCGACGCGGAAGAAGTTGAGAAGAGGAAGGCAGGTCTACTTCGAGCGAGGGATATGAAGGTCAACCATAATCGACCCATGTTCAATGGGCCGATGGGCAGGCCGACGGTGGATGTGTACGGCCAGCATATCAGTTATAGGGGTGATGGCGGGGTGAGTAAGTATTCGGTGCCGATGCCGGTTGGGGGTGGGGCGAATGCTAATAAGGGGTTTGTGGCGCCGGAGTTTGCGCATTTGCTGAGTGGGAGTAACAGGAAGAGGAGGCTGTTTCCGAGTGAGAGGTTGGAGTGAGGGGGCTGAGGTTGGGTGTCGGCATTTGGTATCTATGGGGTCTGAGACGTGGTGGATGATAGAGAGAGACTTTGGTTCTTGGTCGCGGTGACCTCGGGAGTTATCGGAAACGTCTTGGTGGCGATATTCTGTAACTTGCATAGTATGGCTTCATAAGCTAGGGCTATATTCTTCTACCGACTATCGAGAATCTACACTGCGAATGGAAGCTTGCATCAAAGTTGTTCTATATTTGGTATCCACTCAATGAGGCAATGCACTAACCCAATGTGTCACTAGCGTCTAGCCTCTCCCGAGTCCAAGCCCTGGAGACGCGTCCACGGGTCCCTCCATCTCTCTTCCCGTCCCACCTACACCACGCTCCTCATTGACCTCCACATCGCCTAATAAGCGATGTCTCTTTCTTTTCGGACATATAGCTCCAACGAACTTATCGTGCGAAACCTACAAACGCGCAAAGCTATGCTGCTTGCCGCGGAGCAGCTTGACGTAAGCGGCAAGTACATCGGTCGACGCGTATCGCGACCAACAATCCGCAAATGTACGAAATTACTGCTTAGTGCTTGCTTAAGATCTTATTTCGATCGAAATCACGAAAGAGTTGGCTTGGTAAACAAATTCTCGTGATCTTAGAGACCCCTGGCGCTTCGCTTTGTGTCGGGATTGTAGACTCGCACGATGCACGTCAGGTTCAACAAAGACATTTTACATAAACTTCATGGGTCCATTTAGATGACGGCAATGGTCTGGCAAGCCGACAGTGTGAGCTGCAGCAGTGTTCCAAGCACTGACATACTGTCATTGATATGGCGATTGATCTAACAGCTTGCTGCCATGAGCTCTTGTTCAAAACATATTCTAGCTTGCTAATACGCGTTGTCTAGAGAATACCAAACTTGATACACGATTGTCAATTTGCCAGATGCGGCTATATGAGTATCGCTTTTCCAGCATGCAGAAGCTTCTCATCATACCTACGTTTCGCGTTCAAACCAGATCCTCAAGTTAGAGGCTCAGTTAGTAACGGGGAATATCATGTCGCAAGGTAGAAGGCCGCCTGGAGGTCCACCGCCGCCCAGAGGTTCTCAGCCACCTAGAGGTTATGCACCGCCTAGAGTTCCACCACCGCCCTCGGGTCCTCCGCCATCCAGAGGTTATGCACCGCCTAGAGTCCCACCACCGCCCACAGGTCTTCCGCCACCTAGAAGTCATGCACCGTCCAGAGGCCCAACACCACCCAGAGGTTATGTACCACCCACAAACAATGCGCCGCCAGGTCCTAATGCACCACCTAGGGGCTCAGGACAATCTTTCGCCCCGTCCACTGGTCCTTCGAATAGCAATCAACGAAACAACAATGACTGTGAACAAGTCGACACGCGCGCCCAGTTTGGACAGAAAGCCATCAGTCTATTCGCAAAGGCGAAGCAAGGTGTAGATGCTGCCGATAGCCTCAGCGTTCACGAGATCCGCCCGTCATTCGTTGGACCGCAAGGTCTCAACAGCCTCAACCACGTCCTCACAAATCATTTCACGGTTAAGCTACCAGAGGTGCTTTATTATTTCGTTGTCAATGGAATGGAGGAACGCGCTGAGACCGCTCAACCCGTTACAAAAGAAGACGACGAAGTCGGTTATGAAACTGACAAGAAAGAAGAAGGAGATGAAGCCGGTGCTGAGACCCACACGAAAGAAGAACAAGACGAAGCCGTTGCTGAAAAAAGCCCTACCGATTCCACCGCTGAGCCAACAGGCGAGACACAACCTCATGATGAAAACACCAAACTCCCACCGGCAGCAAAACAGCGTTTGATGATGGAAAGCCTTATCAGCTCAAACGAACTCCTCAGATCCCAGAAGCATCTCTATGCTAGTGATGCAATGCGGCAGATTGTCTCATGGACGAAACCGACTACTTTATTCCATGCAAACTCCGTCCCAGTTGACAAGATCGTGGCCGAGTGTGAGTATACAGTCCGCCCAGCTATACCATCCAAAAACCTAGATGCGATCGTCAAGACTCTAAAGCTCCAATACAAAGGCGAGATACCCGTTCGAGACCTTACCAAAGCTGCGCACGGCGTTCTTCCTCAGTTCACTATCGACCTGCAACGCGCTCAAACCATTGCAATCGACCGAGCACTTAACATGATCATCACGAAGGCAACCATGGCCTCCGAACCTGATCTTTTCCGCATCGGAAGTAAGAAGATCTTTACCGAGGCTGGTAAGCAGGAGCTATCTCCTGGAGTCTTCGCTCATCACGGTTACTTCTCAAATGTCAAGGTTGGAATGGGATATCCACTGCTGAACGTCAGCTCGGCTACGAGTGCCTTTTACGAACCGCTGAACGTATCGACATACTTGAGGAAGACGAACAACAGCTATAACTCACTCAAGAACGTCAAGGTTGAAATCTCGTACACTCCAGGCAAGACGAGAACGATCAAGCAATTTGGGAGGCCTCCTCGCGATCAGCTCTTCGACTTTGGCAACTCACAAATCTCCGTTCTCGACTATCTGCGATCAAAGGCCATCGACGGAATTCTCCTAGATCAGATTGCGGTGTCGGACTTCCTGTGCGCCGATATGGGCACATACACTTCACCAGAATGGTATCCTGTCGAAGCGCTGAAGATTGCGAAACATCAGAACGTCAAGTCGCTCTCCCCTGAAGCTACAGAAGAGATGCTCGAAGTTGCCAGTAAACTACCCCGGGAAACCTTGAACAACATCGTCCAGCGTGGTCTCGCCACCTTAGGTGTAGGGACTCAAGAGCACCCAAACTCAGTTTTGAGTGCTGCAGGCATCAAAGTGAGCCAGAAGCCGCTTTCTATACCTTTCCACAAGGCCACCTTTCACCATGTGTGCTATGGTACAAAATCAGTGCAAGGAAAGGAGCTTGTACAGGACGTGTCCAAGACCTGGGGCCTATATGAGAGACGGTTCTATGACACGAAGATACGTTTCGTTGGCCCGGTTGTGGTCTTACTTCCACAAACAATCTTCGATAAAGTGGACAAATGGTACGGCAAGTGGGTCGTGGATCAGCTTTTGATGCAATTCTCCGAGACTGGCATTCAGCGTACGTCCAACGGCCACCTTGACGAGTCGATCAACTTCGACGAGAACGCTGCAGACATAGTTGCTGAGCTCAAGCAAAGCCTTAAGAAGGCAAAGATCCTCGGCGCTGGCATCGTGGTCCTCGTCAATCCGTCTACAAGCCGATACGGCACGACGGTACTCTACAATCAGTTCAAGCGGGTTGCCGACCAAGCCTATGGGATGCACACTACATGTGTGATGCAAGCCAACTGCGACCGCTTCCTTTCGAAACCCAAGCCCTATTTCGCCAACATCGCCATGAAAGTCAACATCAAGCTGGGCAACGTCAACCACATAGTCAAGTTGAAGGAAGACGACGGTCGAGCACTCATACCTATGCTTTACAACAAAGCCGGTTTGGTTGACACCATGATCCTTGGCGCAGATGTTACTCACGCACAGAAGGGCAGCAAAGAGACTACTCGCTCTCTAGCTGCTCTAGTCGGTAGCGTGGATGAAACATTTGGCCGATATGCTGGCTCAGTGAGCTATCAGACTCAAAACCAAGAGGTATTTCTCGCATTTCGCATAGAACTACAGGCTTCAGCTAACTTGGCGATTAGATCATCGATGAGTTGCAAGGCATGGCTGAGCAGCGACTCAATGCTTTTGCCGCAAGGAACAAAGGACGACTGCCAGCCAACATCCTGTACTACCGAGACGGTGTTGACCCAGGACAATACCCCAAGATCCGTGCTCACGAATTGCGCAAGATTAGAGCAGCCTACGCCAGCGTTGCCGAAGCACGACAAATCCCCAACCCCAAGTCTCCCTTGATCACCGCCGTCGTCGTCACTAAGCGCCATCACACTCGATTCTTTCCTGAGGTTCCTCCTCCACCCAGGGAGAACCCCAACTGCAAACCAGGCACGGTCGTCGACTCCGTAGTAACACATCCCAACTACTTCGACTTCTTTTTGCAATCACATATCCCCGGACCAGGAACTGCGCGCCCAACGCACTACTTCGTGTTAGAGAACGACATGAACTTCACCCCGGCGCAACTTCAAAACTTCACCAACTGGCTTTGCTACACATATGCCCGCGCAACGCTGCCTGTAGGGTACGCGCCACCGGCGTATTATGCAGATCTCCTGTGCGAACGAGTGCGGTGCTACTTTCATGACTTCTTCAATCCGGCAGACCCTGGGCTGAGAGATGTAGGTAAGAATCAGGGCTTAGGTGACCGTGAGTTGAATGCATTGAAGAAGGATACGGCGTGGGAGAAGAGGTATGATGATAATGGAGGAGGAGTTGATGCAGACGGAAATGTGGTGCCTCGGAACGATCATGGACCTTGGCACCGAGCCTTGAACGATACGATGTTTTGGCTGTGAAGAGGGATCTCGAGCGATGGGTCTCTGAGATTGGGGTGGTAAATATTGTCATGGTCTGTTTCTAGTTGTTGTTCGCACGCGTAGATTCATTCAACGCACGTCTTGTGGGGAGCGGCCCAACGTAGTATGAGAATGATGAGTCAAGACCTTGAGTACTGTCTACTTGGTGAGACACAACATCATGTAAGCGGCAAACTGACTTGGGAATCGCCTACTGCCATCTTCCTCCAACGTGTTCAATAATCATTGATGAGCCGTCGTATTTGACACTGAATCTCCTCGGCAGTACAGATGCCGACAAGCGTCAAGCAGCAAGCATATCGCATTGTTCCGCGGCTGTAGCGTCACGCAACGCTTACGACCCCTGGTACCTGCACGGCTGGGTTTGATATCTATCATGGCAACGAACATCTTGTAGCAAAGCTGGCTTGTTGGTGGAAACCACGGTAAAGCAAATACGATTTAAGTTTGCAAGATATCAAGAGAAGGACATAAAGACTTCCACAGGCCCCGGTATAAATGCCTGCTTAGTAAGTAGCATACTCTCAATCTTTGACCCTCTCCAGATACCTGTTCAGTCCAATCTTCACAACGATGGTTCGGGGCTGTTTCAATTGCGGTGGCCTGCATTATCAGCAGAGCTGTGAGTTACTTTGTGTGGGCTGCCCTAACTCTGCTCATGCAGGAAAAGACTGCCATAATTGCCCTGTGCGACGAGGCAACAATCTCCGTGGCCGTAGTGGCGGTTCTTGTAGTCAAAGAGGTGGACGCTCTGCCGCTCCAGTCGGTCATTATAGTACTGGAACTTGGAATAGTGGTGATTGCCCCGTCTATCCAACAATGGCATACATACCAAGCCCAAATGTGAACCAGCCAGGCCTATACCCGCGTGTCCCTAGTTCTATCCAGGATATCAGCGGACTCTACCATCAAAACGACGCCCCGGGGTACCCATTATTTCTAGGAACGGTTACTCATCCTAACACTCACGGGCAACCTACGTTACCCCTCAGAGCAGCCAGGTCACGACAGCAAAGTAAGTCAGCCCGACACAATCAAACCTCATCTAACAATCCCATAGCTCCATGGGACCTCCTTCAACAACGCCTCTATGCAAACCGAGAACATTTCCCCTGTATCTGGTGCGGAGATTTCCATCACTGCCTGCTTGATTGCCCCGGCCAGCCAACAACTTGGCGCGCTCCTTTGCGTACTCAGATAGTTCAGAGCGGCTACGAGACCCTAGCAGGCTTTTTCGTCGTGAGTTTACAGGATCGCCATAGGCCGAACGAGGATGTGCCTTTCTTGACCGCACAGCGCAGACCTTGTTACAGCCGGACGGAAAACCCTAACTCGATGGGAGTCACGCAGGCACAAGGGCAAGGGCGAGGAGAAGGACGAGGAGGCGGAGGCGGAGATGAAGTTTCGGGCACCTTGGGTTGTCAGGATGGAACTCGTCAGCCTGGTGAAGACCAGCCGGCTCCTCCTACGTTGCCTTTGACGCAGACTGCTTTCGACGAACAGCGCTCACCCCAGCACCAAACTGATCAGTCAAATATTGATATGCTGGGGGGCGCAACGTTGACGTAGGCCTCTCATGGTGTCTGGAGGGAACTTCTCAATTATGCCGCAAGCTAAGTCGCTCTAGTCTTGTGTATACTCGAAGAGGAGAAGAACATCTCTAGAAACACGAGCTGGATCAGATCTTACGGCTGCATCTAGTGCCAGTCTCCTCATAATGCACTCTGTAGAAAGAACCTCGTGATTCATAAGCTCAGGCCAGACAACAACCAACCGTTCTTGCATCTGGAAGCGCCACTTGAGTCCATCCAGCATATGAAGAAGGTGGTGCATCCGCTCTTTGATACTCTTTTCTAACGATCCTGCAACTTGGCTCAATCCTTGGGATGGCTCTTTCTGCTTGTTTCCTTTCTTTTGTACTTGCTCCCGCGACAAAATTTGTATCATCTACTGTGTATACACCCGACCGTGTGGTGTTAGAGTGACTATCTGGGTAGCACCTCATCTAACCTTTGAACTGGAAGGGATACAATAAACACCCTAGAGCCTACATCAGGATCAAAACATGCAAAGCAGGGGGCCTAACGTCAACGTAGGCTCCAGGGTGTTTAGCTTTTCCTTTGTATAAGGTGGTAGAGAACGTATTGGTCACGAATTGACACTGATGTGCTTCGCCATGTACAACTGTTTCTCTAACCTGTATAGTTTCCAGTCTACACCATGAGAATACGCTCAGCGAGATGCCATACTGGCCTTAGGACAATAGCCTATGTTGTAGGTGCTGACATTGTAGTAGAGTTGTGGGCGCAGTCATGCCTAGGTGCTCTCCGGGTTGCACGGTTGTCTCTGAGCGTAGCCAGTCAAAGATGGCGGCAGGGCGGGATCGATATCGCATCGGACACTACCTCTTTCGGGTTATTACCGTGGGCGACAAGATCTAGACCTGAGTACGCTGCAGGCCTTGTACTTCTACTCCAGGTCAATCGCGCGAACAACACACAGTATTGAAAATGGGAGAGTGTACAATGAGGTCCATCAAAACGATGCTGCCTTGTCGTGATGATGGAGACAGTGATGCTGCGCCTCGCACGGGACTGCACGCTACGCCCGGGCGATCGTCACTAGCGATGACTAAGGGCGTGCCTTGCCCGTTCTTGTGCGATTGGTGACGTGCGTCTTCGCGGCTCAGAGCTCGCTGATTCAACAGGGTCCCTTCATTTAATTTCCCTCGCAGCCCACATCAAAACAAGGCGACGCAAGGTTCAATCAATCGGTTTTGAGCACTGCCAGTCCCAGCGACCCAGCATCCGCTGTTCATTTTACCAAGACTAGTCTTGTTGTGCGGAAGAATTGCTGGACTAATCGCCGCGCGCTCACGTCCGTCGGTCAGCGCAAGATTCCGTAGCTTCCGCGGCTCATCTCAAGCTCCACTGCGGCATTCCGAAACCATCGCTCCAACGCTGCCAATCCATCCCAGCCAACACCAAACATGTCGCAAAACTATCAGCAATACGGCGGCAACCCGTATGGCCAGGCCGAGGCTGGATACGGCGCGCAATCAAACCCATATGGCGGCACCGGCTACGGCTCAGCCAACCCCTATGACGGAGGAGTAAGCAGTCGCGACCGCGCGGCGTGGACTCAAAGACTGACGCGACGAAACAGTATGACGGCCAGGCCCAGCAGCTCAGCCCGCCGGCGCCCCTCCAACGTCATGGCGACTCCAACTATTCGCAGCCATCGCAGTATTCGCAACCCGGCGCGAACCAGCAACCACCCAACGTACCGCATACCGACGTCCCCATGAACAACATGCCTGCGTACAGCGAGCCGACCGCAAACACCGGCATGGAGGCGCCAGGACCGCAGCCGCTCAGCCGCGACGACTTCTTCGCGCGCATCGAAGGCGCAAAGTCGCGCATCGGCCAGCTCACTTCCGACATCCAAGCCATTGCAAGCGTCCACCAGCGCATGCTATCGTCGCCCGACAACCGCTCCACCGCCGAGCTCGAGAGCATCGTGACCGCCACGCAGATCAGGAACACCCAAATCAAAGACGAGATCAAGTTCCTCGAGAGGGATGCCGTGCGCGACCCCAACGACCGGACCAAGAGGACGCAGGTGGAGGCGCTGAAGAGGACGTTCAAGACACAGCTAGAGGACTTCCAGAGGGAGGAGGCAGACTACTCCAAGAGGTATCGCGAGGCTGTCGGGCGCCAGTACCGCATCATCAACCCGGATGCGACGGATGCCGAGGTCAACGAGATTGCCAACTCGGATCTGGGTGACGAGGGCATCTTCACACAAGCTGTAAGCTGACACAAATTGTACGAAACAAGAAATACGTCATTAACAACCCGCAGCTCAAGTCCAACCGTAGCGGCCAAGCCTCGAGCGTCCTTGGCGCCGTCCGCGCCCGCCACAACGACATCCAGCGCATCGAGAAGACCATGGGCGAGCTTGCCCTCCTCTTCACCCAGCTCAACGAGCAGGTCGTCTACCAAGAACCCATCATCCAACGGACCGAGGAGCAAACCGTACAAGTCAAGGACGATACCGAGAATGCGAACAAGCAGCTGGACGAAGGCATCAAGTCGGCCAGGCGCGCGCGCAGGCTCAAGTGGTGGATCCTCTTGACTGTCATCCTGATTCTGGCCGTTATCGCGCTGGTACTTGGATTATACTTTGGATTGAAGAACAAGGACAAATAGAGGATGTAATGACCATGTGGCGGTGTGAAAAGAGGAGGATGCGATATCATGTTGGGACTATGTTTCTGTATAGGGAAGTGGATGACTTCTCGTTGTTTTCTTATTATTAGTAATGATCCGGGCTGCACTCCGCAGTGACGAATGTGTATACAAAGGAGGTTTCTTGGTTGTATCTGAATGTATGCGCGTGGTTCTATCGAGCTGTAAACACAATACAAGATAAAGTCTACTTTTAGAACACCCGTTCGTGAGGTACGAGGCGGTTCCAAAAACACGAGCGCCTTTCCGAACGGAAGTCGGCAAGGAATAGTTCTTAGCGCTGGTGGTATGATGGCAAAAAGGCCGTAAAACAAAGACTACGTTCCCAACATGAAAGTCTCGACCGCTAATGAGATTCTGGACCGGCTGGCGTAGGTACAATCGATAGAGCTGCGGCAAGGCAGCGGGGGATCCGTTTGGGGAGAGGGCGTGCTCTTGAACTCGATCCCAGATGTGCTGGCTGGACATGTTATGTTGAGAAGGCTGGCCAGGGCTCTAATAATAAGATGGCAAACTAGCCTGCCAGAAAACCGCCTCCCAGCATTTGAGATACGGAGGCTGATGATTAGCCGATGAATTGCCAATGAAATGCCTCACCAGAATCCAAGGCTCGTGATGTCAAGAGACAGTGCCAGGCGCGGACCGACTACCTCGTTTCACAGCACAGCGTAGGCAGTATCGCCGTTTCGGAAGCGAGCAGCGACCAGCCAGCCATGCGATCCATGGATGCAACAGCAGCCCACGATGCCTCCACATGACGTCGTCAATCCAATCTTAGCCGTGGGCCGTCATTTCGGCATCACGCCTGCGCGACATGGGCAGCGGCATGCGTTGAGACGTTTGATACCGATCGCCAGCGTCTGCGCAACAGAAAACAGTGAATGATTGACGGCGGACGCGTGTTTCAGCGCGCTTCACTGCCGTCGGTCCAAGCATGATCGCCACGGCGAGCCAGTCTGCTTAGCTAGGCTTGACGGTGGGCTCATGCGCGTTGGCGGCTGCTTGGAGGTGGGCTTGGTGCGGCTTGTTCAGGGGTTGGCGCTGCTTGCATGCTTGTCTCCCAGCCAGGACCGATCCCCACCGGGGTCGCAGCCTATCACAGGCCGAAGGCGCAGTGCACTAGGGAATTGGACGCGTCGCCTCCCTCGCAGTCGACTGCTTAACCTGCTGCGTTCCCCGTTGAATCCTTCCTTCTTCAAACTCACGACTCCAAGTGCTTCTTGCTACTTACACCTTTATTCTAATCGCAACTTCTAACACTCGTTTCACGGGAGTTGCTCTTTACTTCGGATTTCAAAGTATTTTACTTGTTTACTTCGGCCCACCAGTCGCTATAACAATCGCTCAACTGTAATTATCATCAACACCCACACGACCATCATGAAGACCTTTGCCATTGCCGCCGTCCTTGCGGCCTCCGCAGCTGCAACCCCCGCGGCCACCCAGAAGCGGGCAAACATCACCCCCGTCACTGTCAAGGGAAATGGTATGTAGACTTATTATCACAGATGCAAGTCCCTACTAACATCTACAGCTTTCTTTGCTGGCAACGAGCGTTTCTACATCCGCGGTGTCGACTACCAGCCCGGTGGCGCCTCCGATGCAAAGGACCCCATCGCCGACGAGGCTGGCTGCAAGCGCGACATTGAGAAGTTTAAGGAGCTCGGCATCAACACCGTCCGCATCTACACTGTCGACAACAGCGCCAACCACGACGCCTGCATGGGTCTCCTCGCCGATGCCGGTATCTATCTCGCCCTCGACCTCAACACCCCCAAGTACTCCATCAACCGCGCCGAGCCCCAGAAGTCGTACAACAAGGTCTACCTCCAGAGCATCTTCGCTACCGTCGAGATGTTCGCAAAGTACGACAACACACTGTTGTTCTTCTCCGCCAACGAGGTCATCAACGACGACAAGACCACCAACTGCGCTCCCTACGTCAAGGCCGTCACCCGTGACATCAAGTCTTACATGAACGCCCGCGGTCTCCGCAAGATCCCCGTCGGTTACTCCGCCGCTGACGTCGAGAGCAACCGCTACGAGATGGCCGACTACATGAACTGCGGTGACGATGCCGCCCGCAGCGACTTCTTCGGTTTCAACGACTACTCCTGGTGCGACCCGTCCTCCTACACCGTCTCCGGTTGGGACCAGAAGGTCAAGAAATTTGCCAACTACAGCATCCCCATCTTGTAAGTCTCCCACATTCGCACTACATGGCTATTAGCTAACATTCACAGCCTCTCCGAGTACGGTTGCAACAAGGGAACTCGAAAGTTCGAGGAGGTCAAGTCGCTCTACAGCACCGACATGACCGGCGTCTACTCCGGTGGTCTCGTCTACGAATACTCCCAGGAAGACTCCAACTACGGTCTCGTCGAGATCAACGGTGACTCCGTCAAGGAGCTCGCTGACTTCACCGCCCTCAAGGACGCTTTCTCTGCCACCAAGAACCCCAGCGGCGACGGCGGCTACAAGAAGGACGGCCAGCCCGCAACCTGCCCCGACCAGTCCAAGACCTGGGACGTCACCATGAAGAGCGACGAGCTCCCCGCCGTCCCCTCCGGTGCCCTCGACCTCATGAAGAAGGGTGCTGGTGACGGCCCTGGTCTCTCCGGCTCTGGCTCCCAGCAGGCTGGTTCTTCCGACGAGAACCTCGCTCCTGCCGGCTCCGGTGCTGTCACCTCCGGCGGCAAGGTCCCCACTGCTACCGGTGGCAGCAGCCCCTCCGGTTCCGAGGGCGCCGCCGCTTCCATCCGCCCCGAGTTCAGCTTCGCTCCCCTCGTCTGCGGTGCCGTTGTCCTCGCCTCTTCGCTCTTTGGCGGTGCTCTCATCTTGTAAGAGTATGCCAGTAGAGCTGTGTGTGTTTCTTCGATGTAATGCAACGACCCAGCGCGGGCAACGTTATTGGGATAGATTTGGTTCTTCCTTTCCAAGTAGCATTGGCTTTGAAACGCTTTTCTGATGGGAGTTGGTTGACTTTGTTGTCGGCCTGGCGTCTCATGTTTTTTTTCTTGTTGTTCTCTTTGTTTCAAGTATCTCAGTATATATCAGGAAATACAAACACATTGAAAAATCTATGTTGATTGGTTGTGAGTGTGGTTGAGATTGTTATGCGCTTGGTACTTTGATGTTGACTTAGGACAAGGTTGGGTGTTGGCATGGCGCTCTGACCTGCTGGGCTGCATATAAAATCATGTCGACGGTGTGATCTCCTGCTTCCTTTCTACATCCACGAGCTCACCTCGCTTTTTCAAAACGCCCTGGCCTCTCCGTCATGTTTCCGCTTTTGTTCCAAAAACGAAAACGTGAACCTCGATGTGTGCCTCTTTCTTCTGGGTTACCATTACCAAAACACACCTGCTACCCGCCCTCATAGAATCCCGGTTCAAATCGCAGCGAGAGATTTCTTATGATTCCAATTCCTCCTCGCGCGTACCGAAAGCAACCCAGTCATGATCCCATGAGAATCGCGCCTGAAACCACACTTCTACATTTTACTTTAAAAACACACTGTCAACAACCACATGGCTCTGCGTCTTCTTCAAAAATCTACTCCAAACATTTCATGACTGTGCGGTGCGTTTCCAAAAACTACAATGTAGATATCATGTCTTTCTCCGTCGGACTCTGCGGACTTCATCAGAACATCATACGGCACGAGAAGAATGGGAGATGGAAGTATGAAAGTCACCTTTCTCACGCAGGAGTTGCTGTCTTCTTATCTACACAACTCCATTTTATTTTACCAAATATGCAACAAATGCACGCTATGGGTGTCTGTCTCCTTCCGAAAAATCAGCCATTATGGAATCATGAGCGTGTCTCTTTTCCAACACTATCAACACAGTCGATGATGTGCGGTGGAAGGCAGCAAGACTTCATTTCATGCTTTCGAGGCGATCAAGCTGTATAAATACCTCGCTTTCTGGGCTTGTCTCTTGTATACCATTGTACTTCTTCATTATCCAAAAATCGAAGACTACAACTTCCATGTGTCTGTTCTGCCCTTTCTTCCAAAAGCTAAACATTAACGGAGCATGGTTCTTCCGTCCCGGCACTCAAAACATATCGGATATCTGGGGTATGTGCGGTCTGCTGCTTTGCTCCGAGGTTAAAAGAAAAGAGTGGGCTATGCTGTGATGTTCTGGGACTGGGTTGAGCAGGTACAAGAGATTTCTCCGAAAGCAGCAATTGAACGACTCATGCGGCATCGTTGTGCTGTGCAGCACGCGCAGAAATCAACACGGGCAAAAACCTTTGTGTTTGGCGGCGCGCTCTCGGTGTATTGACGAGTGTACTACCCCGAGAATGTATAAAGTCTCCTACTGGGCTGCTTCTCCTTCTCTTCTCCATAACACATTCCCCTTCTACTTCCAAAAACACTTCGGCAGCGACGTGATGTGTCTGTCTTCCGAAAAGAGACAGTATACAAAAAGTTAGCAGCGAGACTTCCTTCCTTCAAAACAAGCAGTCCGTGAACCTGATGTCTCCGTCTCGCCTCGGAGTTACTTCACAAATCCGGCACCAGCGAGTTGCGTGCAACCAAAAAACAGAGCTCATCTTGCCATGCTTTCCCGGACGTCTTGGCGTGGTAGTCATATATAAACTGCCTTCTTCCTGGCTTCCTGCTTTTTTTATTTTACTCTCTACATATCCAAAAGAGTGTCTTCCCAAAACGTTATTTACATGGTTCCATGTGAGCTTGCTCTGCTCTTCTCCAAAGTATCACCAGTTCTGCGAATGGTTGTCTCTGCCTCGAGAAATAAGAAAAAAGATTCTTCGTAGTCTACATGGTCGTTCTGCTCCGCACTGGCATCACTAAAAGCCGAGTGCAGATACTTCATGTCGCAGAAATTGCCGACTGTTATTTCGGATGAGTGGCGCGCTGCCTGCAAAGCATTGACACAATCACTTGATGGTTTTCCTGAATCGCTGCCTCTGTTCTACTATATAAGCGCCGGGTTGTTCTTTACTTCTTCTCCAACACTTCCTCTACTTTCGACCAAAAGGAATACGCGAACGTCTTTATGACGGCTGCTTCTCCGTTCTCAAAATCCTCCTATAGCATACATATGACTTTGGAGATTCTGGCACCGGAATCCGATATGATGAACGTGATGTTCTGTCCCGTCTTCCGTTGCGACTGACTCAAACCCGTCATCGCTGCAACCATGTTTCCAAACGTCACTGCGATAAACCATCAATTCTACGTTTCCCTCTTCCGAAAAGTGCTACCGAAAAGAACGATGTCTCTTCTTGTCTTTGGAGCTAGCTGCAAAAAGCCTATCTGTTGGAAACAATGTGTTGTACGCGAAATAAAGACGCTCTACGAGGTTTGCATGTGTTTTGACCGTTGCGCCGTTATTAGACAGATGGGTATTTAAGACGTCCACGATCGACTCTCTCTGAATCTTTTGTTACACACTTTCTACCACTACTTCCAAAAAACAAACCCATCTTCACAATATAACTTGCTTTGTCGGAAAGACTCAAATCGCCGCTCGCTTAAAAGCATGTCCGTTCCGGCACTCGGTGCTCTCTCGTCTATAAAGTCCAAGGACTGCGAGCTCTCACTTCCTTCACCTATACGTATCTTCTTCTTACCAAAATACGCCAAGAAGAGTATCATGGGTTTGAAAACTAAAGGTTCTTTCTACATGTCCTGTCTCTTCCGAGCTTCTACAACTTCCCAATACGAACATCGTACTTTCTTTGCAAACCCTACCCAAAAAAACAAGTTAAGCACCTTTTCATGTCTTTCCGCTGCACCAGAAAATGATAGGTTACTTTTTTTATGTTGTCGGCCTGCCGAAACTTGCATGGATTACCTGAATGACTGGCTTCTGCTGAGTCGGCGACGTCGAAATTCTTCAAAACATCAATTCAAGCCCACATGAGCACCGAGGCTTGCTGGCTGCTGTACAAAATCCAACCCTTGGGGCTGGACGTTTCTTTATCCTCACTTACTTTATTATAATAAACAAAAATCGTCATGAACTCTTTCATGGGTGTGGTGTCGAGATCAAAAGTCCATGTGCCTGTCCAATGTCCGCTTCGTTTGCTCGGATTCATAATCATACAAAAGCCATACTTATTGTTGCTGCCTCTGAACCATCGAAAAGAGAAGACATGATCGACATCAAAGTACTGTACTCCGCCACGAGGATGTTCAAATTCCCGCTCCTTTCTCCAAAAGTTCGTCGAAACCATTCTATGTCGGAAGCAACTGTATGCCACTGCTTCAGTCGTCAATATCGCCTTTTGGGCCGCCGATGTACACTTCATTAGGGTGCGTCATCTGTATGGCTATGATTGGAAGTTTGCCCGAAGAGTTTGAGTAGTATAAAAGACCACAAAGCGAACGTCGAATCAACGATGCAGAGTCAGTCTCCTACATCCTCAAGCTTCCTAAAAGCAAAATCACACACGCTATGCCGGCTTCTTCCCTGAGCGCCAAAAAACGGCTATAGTGGCTCTCATGGAGTCAGAAGGACCTGTTAGCTGTGGATAATGCTAGTGTGTCGAAAACCAGCCTCATCGTTTCCCAAGACAGTCTTATTCTCTTGTGGTTGTCCAATGCGCGGGGGAAGTCATCATCTATACTATAAAAATACATAGCCATATCCACCGTCCTTTCGAACGAACATAAATCTGGAAGCAACACTGCACCCCCCGTCTACTCAACAATCCCAACAACCTTGACCTCATCCGTCCTCCACTTCCTCATCGGCACCTTCCCCAACTCCCCTCTCAACCTCTCCTGATCCCCCCAAACCTCCTCACCAACCTCCTCCCTGCTTACCCAAGCCCAATCCCCTTTAAGCACACCCACCCCATACCTCCCATGCTCCTCTCCCACCTTCAACAACCTCGTATCCGAGCCCCAGATCCCCGCTTCGTCCGGGTCAGAAATCAGTGTATAGCTCCTCTCATGCACAGTCTCGCTGTTCTCGAAAACGAGGACTTCAGTCTCGTTGGGCGGGAAAGGATCGGTTTCGCCCTCTACGTCTGCGTCTGGCGGACTGTAGCCTTTCATGGGCCCGCGCTTCTTTCCGGTTTTGAGATCGCGGAGTTCAACGCTGGCTTTGTTGCGGCCGTGGGGTATGGAGCGTAGGACGGCAATGCCTTTTGTGTTGGCGATCTCGGAGCGCGAAGTGTCTAGACGCCAGGCGAGGGTGATGGTGCATGGTGGGTTGCCTGAGACGGATATCGTGTCGGTTGAAGTAAGAATAGTCGGTCGAATAGGCGGAGGCTTGGGAACTGTAGCGAGGGCTTTGAAGGTGTAGCTAGGGAGTGGCGAAGATGGCTGCGGTATACTTTCTGTCTCCGGCTCAGGCAAACTGTTCGGGTCATTATGCCCACCAGCGTACCATGTCGTTATGCCGTGAGACCGGAGACGGATGGTATACGATTTCCCCGCTACGAGCGATGATGGATCGAAAGTATAAGGCATGGGGTTCGAAACTGTAGTACCTGGGCGAGTCGACCACATGATATAGCTGTCGAGCTTTTTGGGGTCTAGTATAAGGAGTCGTCGATCAATGTCTTGAGTAGCGGTCTTGGAAGGCACATAGTCCACACTTTCACCAGTCTCTGCGTCGACGAGTTCGAACAGGCCTTTTGCAAAGGCTGCCTCCGGATCAAAGATGGTGTGTTTGGTGTCGATGGTGAGTTTTGAGTGGTAGTCGACATTGCGTACAAGGCTGATGTCGAAAGTATCGCTGCAGTCAATGTAGCAGAACGCACTGGTGTAGAGCGTAAAATGTATGGAGGGAGCCATGGAAAGATTTACGGCAACAGGTCTGCGCTGATGGCTTTCTCAGTACAGCAGCGACAAATATAAAGTAGGATGTGTCGGTGGTGTTGCCTACCTATGGTGGCCTGACGTCAATGGCGCTAGTCCCTGGTCGGGTGTCAGCTTGTTCTTATTCGTCGCATCGTACATGCATAGTAATAATACTTCGCCTTTCGCCCCCCAATGAGACATCTCGAGTGCACAAGGCATAATCGAGATACTTTTGGGGCGGAGTGACGACACAGCCATCGTAGACTATCACCTCTTCAGGCGCCATACTGGATTCATACCTAGCTGTGCGTGTTCTGGTGAGTCCGTGCCGCTTATTTCTGACCAACATGTTGAGCCAAGTATTGAGGCTACATGGTACCTGAAGCTTGGAAGAGGTAAGCCGCCCCATATGAAGCACGAGACAGATCGACATGACGTTTAATCACCTGTTCCTTCGTCTCGATCAATCGTCATGTCTATGTTGCAAGAGAACTTGTCCGAGACACTCGCGATCCATCCACACATTGGGAAAGCCAACAAGGCCCCAAAGTTTTAATGCAAGACGGTGTTGTCCCGTGGAGTCGGGCGTAAACTGTGTTCTATCTATGGTGTCTGCTGTTCATGTATGACATCTTCTCAAGTCGAAATAGCCCCAATAATTGCGTATAAAGCACTGGTTGTCTGCCCGCTGGAATCTTGATCACACAACAGACCGGCTACTATTAAGCTGAACTACCTTCTACCATTACGAGAATGTACCTCAATCTCAGCACCCTTGCTATAGTGCTTTCAATCAGTTGGCGTACCTCCGCTAAGCCCATCGATGGGTCAGTCACACTTCAATCATGTCTGATGGCCATGCAGAACTGACTAGTCACAGCAAATTTCACGCTGTGAAGCGGGAAGACCCCGTATCCTACCCGTACGGCGATGCACTTCCCAACGAATTCCAGTGGCTGGGTTGGGACCCCGAGGATGCGGATCAAAAGAAAGACGGACAAAAGATACACGAAGCGTTCAAACAATGGGTACGTAATCGGTCACATGAAGGGGAACCTCCTTTTATCACCCCCTCCAAATGAGCGTATTGCTAAGATGTCTTTCACTATCTAGGCAGAACTAGCCAAAGCAGGCGTTACAGCAGCCCAAGGAGCACCCGATAACGTACACTTCAAACGCTTCTTCGGCACCCAAGATGCGGACGACACCAAAGCCATCCAAAACACCATGGCAAACATGTACGACAACACGGCAGGCACAGCTACAGAAACCATCAAAGGCATGGTCCTGGAGCGCTCTGACTTCGGTAACCACTGTGTGACAGACGGTTGGTTCGCGTATACAGATGCGGAAACCGGTCATTTCCACATGTGTCCTAAAGCCATTGCCACGAAGCAGAACTCGGAGACCCAATGTACGGATTTTGCGCGAGACTACATCGACAACACGGCTAGGACGCTGTCTTTTGTGATGCTACACGAGTTCACGCACTACGATGATGTGACCGACGACAGGATTGGGCTTATGCAGGATCACGCCATAACTTCTGTCAATTGCTTCAACCTGGACGATGAAGACAAGCTCGAAAATGCCCAGAGTTATGCGTTCAATGCTGCAGTAAGTCTTGGTTCCAACGACAGATATGATTTAGACTAAGATAGACTTTTAGGAACAATATTGGTCTGATAAATGTCCAAACAAGGACTTTACGGACCCTGGTGTAACACGCCCGGCTGAACCAACAGAGGCTGTGCCTGCGACTACATCAGAGGCGCCGTTGCCTACAGAGGCTGTGCCTGCCACTACATCAGAGGCGCCGTTACCCACCGCACCACCTTCTTGAGGCTCTCGTAAGAAGGGCGAGATACGTCAGAAATTTGCGTGCAGACGGATAGCGATTCTGCTTGATAGGAAGAAACGGACACTCTTTTTGTATGGCGTGGAGGAGAAGATTTTCGGTCAGTAACAGCACACAATTATAAAGCAACGGAATGTACAATATATCCTCGATTTCTCACACGTCTCACGTAACACATCTCATCTCATCATCACCACTCGATCTATCAACTACGCATACAGAAGCAGACGAAAACGCTCGAAAAACACAAGAACAAACAGGGGTATCTCAAGGCTCAGACGATATGCAACAAGGACGTTAGAACGCGTCGCTCCCACCGACCGTAACGCCTTGTGTCAGTCAGGGTCGTCTTCTCACGAGCCGGTGAAGAGATGCCAGACAACTGTAAAAACAGGTAGCAAACTCCACAGAACGCCTCAAATGCCGCATGCAAAACACGTAAAGAAAACTAGTTCGTAATCAGCCACCTGGCATGTTGAGTGCCATCAAGTGGCAGACCTAAAGGTGGGGGCTGTTAGCGGTGACGCCTTACGAAGGCGATGCAGGGAGCTCAAAGCTCCATCCTCTCAATGATGCCCTCGCTCATCGTCCGTATCTTACTCACGGCCCTCTCTCGGTCTACTAGTGACTCAACGTCGCTGTCGTCATCGCTCTCGTAGTACTCGGCGTCCATGCTCATGTCTCTGGCTGGCAGGTACCGCTGTTGTTCTGCATCGACGACATCGCCGGGGTGATCAATGACCATGTTGTCGAGCTCATCACTGTCTCCATATGCCTCAAGCCCCTTCCTAGCACGATCGCCGAGCCAGTATTCCGCGCGCTTCCTACTGCCCGCATTCGCACTGGACTCGTACTTCGATGCTTTGAACTTGGACATTAGTGACATGGCCACGCTGGGTGAATTCGACAGAGCCGATATTCCGCGGAGGTAAAAGTATGCAACTCGCTTGCGCTCCTTGTTGTACAGGAAGAAGTGGTGACTCCAAATCGCACCGTCATCAGCGAATGGGTCATCTGACGGCTCCCATGCATAGTATTCACAGCTCGACATGTCCATCTCCGTATCGAGCAGGTGCCAACTTCGCGGACTCCATATCGGCGACCCAAGTGGTGTGACTGCGCCCGCTGGTAGTCCGGCGGAGTACACCTGTGGGCGCAGATAGTACATTGTAGTGTCGATCTTGTGCATGAAGCTGTGGATGGTCTCGCGACGGAACTCATCAGGGTTCAGCGTGTTCGCGAAGTCGTAATCGATGTGTGTGGCATTGAGCGTCGCGATGAGGTATGCGAAGGTGTGGCGGTTTGCTGCTTCGCTGAAGGATCCGAACGGCGTGTCTCGGGAGATGTCGAGTTGGTCTGCGAACTGAGCTGCCGACTGCTCGGACAGCCCCGCAACCGCTGATAGCAAGTCCTTGTGCCGCTCCTCGAGCGTCCTCTCGATGCGCTTGTACAACTTCTTGTCGCTTCCCGCTGCTTTAATCGTCCAGAGATCGCATCCGCCGATGATTGCTGTGTCTTGCGTATCGAAGTTGAGGGCGAGGTTGACCTCGTGGAGGGCGCACAAATCGAGGTACTACGGTCCCACCGGGTCAGCTATGTCGTCACTCTGGCCTTATCGCATCGAGCACTTACCTTCATTGCGCTTGATGTGGACTCGTTTGGGCTGAGTGCCTATTATGGAATATATCGCGTATGATCCGAAATCTTCGAGATACGGTGTGATTCAGCGCGCCGTGGCTGCTGGGCGTGGGTGTGGCTGTGGTCGGAGGGGGTAGCCTGCGCGAACCGATACAACAAGTAAACACGACTCTAGGCTGGCTGCGGAGAGGAGAGGGTACTGTCGTTCGGCCAGACGATCGTCTAGCAGGCAGTGGACATATGTATGGCTTGGGCGTGGTAGTGGTGTGAGATGTCGGTGTCGCTGTAACGACGTGGTCGCGATTGCGGAGAAGGTCAGCTTGGCGGTGTCGCCGAGCTAACAGCGGCATGTGTGTCGGGTCGTCCTTCCTGATTGGTCGATGCGCAACCTGCCTCTCAACCAACAACAGCTGCCGATAAGAGTGGATGGGTAGGCGACTGGTGTTGAGTGTTGATGTTAGTTGTATGCGGCCATGCCGAGTGTGTCTGGTACGCGGGGCATGTCATCTGATGGTCGAGCACGTGAAGGATAGAAGATGCCTGGAGATGAATCCACGTGAATTCGGCAACGTATCATTTGATGAATGCATGTCAAGGTTCTGGGTGAAGGACCAAACGCTGATCCGAACCAATTGCTGTCACGAAGTGCAGGTGCGCAGTGTCTCAGCGGTGTGGAGACCTGTAGCTAGATGAATAAGGTAAGTGTACCAGCATAGGGAAAAAGAAAAAAAAGGGAGAGAGAGTTGTCAAGTCTATCAGGGTGAAGTCTCGATATCATGATGTGTGATCACGTTCGAGCCCTTGAACCGCTTGTGTCAAACCTAGCTGTGTCGAGCAAGCCCGCCAGTCCGAGGTGTATGAATTGTAGTAGATAGAGTACAGCTACCGCCATCCGCTCTACAAGGCAGGATGGCAGGTAGTGCGTTCTCCAGATGATCCAACCCCTGCGCCGTGTGATATCGTTTCGCTCTTGACGCCTGCCCTCGGAAAGATGTTTAGCATGAGCCGTGTTGTGACAGTCGACTGTGTGCCGTAGCCCTACCCCAAACTCCAATAACGCCGTACAATGTGTGTGTTCGTATGCGGACGTCGGATCGGGTCTACAAGATGCCGCTCTCTCGAAGTCGGCCTTTGAATTCATCCGCGTTCTGGAAGCCATCAGGCGCGGTCAGTGGGGACTCTTGGGACGGCGATGACGGAGAGCCAGAAGGTGAGGTGCGACAGTGCGTTCCGTACACGTTTTACATAATCTTGGTAACGATATCGTCCTCAGCCTGACGACAGGGCGTGTCAGCCAGCTGGCGCTATGGGTGCGTGCGGCGAAACAGACCCGAAAGTCATCACACCTCACTCACCTCCATATCCTCGAGGCTGTCTTGCTGTCCTATACACCGGAGCACGTTCTTTTTGCTGCTCTCTTGCATCTCACCGGCCAGCAGTAGCTCGTCCAGGATGAAGTAGGCCTTTTGGAAGTTGAAGATGATGTCGAGCTCGCAGACGTTGCCGTAGTACTTGTCCATCTGCTCGACGTAGCGGTGGACGATTTCGAGCGTGATCAGCTCATTGTCGGTCGAGTCGCAGCCGGCGATGAAGAAGAGCGAGGCATATCGGCGATATACGATCTTGGTGTCTGGAGAAAGTGTGAGCTAGCGAAGCTCTTACCCCTGCCGGACCCACTGACCTTTGTATTCTAGGAAGTTGCACATGCGGGTGCGGCGGGCGAGGACGAGCTGCGAGACGTCTTTGACAATCTTGGCCTTGTCTTTGGGGGCGAGCGTGGTGAACCACTTGGCTAGGCGCTGCGAGCTTCAGCAAGGGACTAAGGATTTAGGGTGAGGGACCAACCACTTTGCCCTGCCGGGACAGCAGAATGAGGTACCTGAGCTGTTAGCACTATAATCCGTTTTGGGCAGTATGTGGAAGTGCATCTTACTTGATCGTCATGGTGTCGTGTGAGGAGAAGATGGCAGTCGCTTGTGTCTGGCGCAATGGGGAAAGATGTTAGGTTCGGCGATCGGCGGTCACAGGCCAGCCCCGCGACTTTGAGACGTCAATGCGCCCTCATATCCCCGCTATCACCATCTGGTTTGGACAATAGACACTTGCGCGCAAGCAGTTCTGCTCTTAGCTCAGCCCTACTAATCATTGCCTAAAGCCTTGCGATTCAAATTATCTGCGCTACTGCACATCCGACGCGACTGCTATCCTAAGACGACCCACCCGCTGACAAACGTTCACCCTCCATACGGCAACTCGAATACCCCCGAGGAGTCACCACCACACGATATAGGAGGCTCTTTCGTCAGAACTGTTCTATCTCGCGTGATAATTGCGCGATACGACTGATCGCCATCATGAAGCTCGTACTATCTACCTCGTATGTCTCTCCATCTCTCCAAATGCCTTACCTAACAACCCAGAAATACCATGTCCGGTGGTCCTTCCGTGATAAGACGACCCTTCTTCGAGAAATCAAACACTGAACTCACCTCCTCCCTGCGCGCAAACTTCGCTGCCCACCAACCCTCTCCAACACCCTCAAAACCCGACTACACAACATGGACCACCAAAACCGACTCCGCCCTATACGTACCCACGCACACGCCCTCACCCCTTACCGAACCACGAGAATCCTACGATATCACAGTCAAACTGTTCTACCTCCCCAACATACCGACAGACAGACGCTGCGCACAAACACGAGAAGCGATAGAACTCGTGCTGAAAGAGCTGGGCACATCCTCGATAGACCTCCTCATCGTCAGTTTCCCCGGCGTATCCTTCGACGCCGACGATGAAGATTCCGATCTCGACGAAGACGACGAACCGCCCTCGCCCCCCTCCGCAACACAATCCACAACCGAAAACACCACCGGCGACTGCCCAGACGCTGGCGCCCCACCAGAAGACATAGAAACGATGGTAACAACATGGCGATCGCTCGAGAAACTGCACGCAGAAGGCCTTGTATCGAAACTGGGCATCGCTGAATTCGGCGTCGCGCGCTTGACCAAGTTCCTCGAACAGACCAAGATAAAACCAAGTGTGAATCAGATCAACGTAAGGGACTGCTGTGTCGTACCCAAGCCGTTGATACTGTATGCGAAGCAACAGCAGATCGAGCTGCTGACACACAATGACTGCACCAACATCTTACCGCGCGGCACGCTACGGCAAATACTTGGTTCGGGAGAGAACGGGTCCGGTGTTTTGGCAGGAGAAGGAAATCAAGATGGGCTTAAGGGCGATGTAGAGCCGCAGTGGGTAGTCAAATATACGGCTGTTGTCAAAGATAGGGGTGTGGTGGAAAGTAAAGGATACTTTGCTGTTGCTGAATTAAGGGATTCATAAGCACACGAAGACACAGAATCACTCAAATCAAATACAATGTTCAGATGACTCAGGCCATGACGATTTTGATTATACATATATCAGGCGTCCACAGACTACTCCATGCTCGCCCATAAGTAAGCACCGACTGGCTGCTGTTTCTATCACGGGAACGGCGCAAGCGCTCCGCATACTTTGCAGTTCAGCAACTCTCCGCGGCGTCCCAAGTTCGCGCATACCAGCGGTTTACCACACTTCTTGCATTTTGCCAGGTCAACTCTACCGGCTTCTGCCTTGGGGTATGTTGTCGATGACTGCGCTGGTGCGCCCGAGCTGGCCTTGCCCTTTGGTTCAGTGTAATTGTTCATTGTGGGTTGTACGAGTGTTGGGTAGGTGTGGTAGACGTTTGCTCTTATGTGTATATGTGTCTTTGGTAGTCGGCGTTTGGTCGAGTTGTCTTCGTATGTGCTAATTCGGGTGGTGGGAGGAAGGTTTTGGGGGGTATTTGCTAAATATGACCATTCACCATGTAAACCCATACTGTGCACTTCACTGCGAGTTCTCTACTGCGTTGTAGAATGTCAGCATGCATCTCCTAGAAGACTCTTGATCATTCGTCTTCAACTTATGGACGCTGCTCGTCCATGGAATCAAAGTGGTGCCAGGCTTCATCACAGCACGGACTTCTTCAACAGACTAAAGTGCTACGTGCGCGACTGGTGAGTACCCTGACAATGAAGTGCATATGCAGCTATTCGCTGGACTTTCAGCTTCACGAAGCCTCCACTGTGAATACATGAGTGCATCACAAAACCCACATACATAAGCTTTTCGGTAGCCCGTCATGTCGGCCCCCATATCTCCAATCTTCCCCAACCAATATACCGTACACGCACCCGATCTTGACCTTCAATGTCCACCCAAGCCAACCCTCCAAGCAAACAGTCCGCCAATACGGCACCAAACACCTCATACGAACACGAGCAGATCTCGGAATCCGAAACCGACCTTCTCATTCCTTATGTCTCCGACGGAGAAGAAGAAGAAGAAGAAGAAGAAGAAGAGGAAGTCTCCGACAACGAACCTGGTCCCTTCGGCCACTGCTGGCACTGCGACGCCCCATTACCTCTGCCCACCTCAGATGAAACCAACGTCAACTGTCTCGAATGTCAGTTTCCGAACTAATTCGCGCGGCGGACGAACGACTAATCTGGCTAGGTCATCAATGCGGCGGATGGTTGGGTCCACCTTGAATGGGATGGCGGAATGATTGGAGTGGGATGTGGCGTTTACTACTGAGCTTGTGTCGCCGTAGAAGAGATGTTATGAAATGTATGCCGCGAGGATGCATTCTAGAACGAACGTGTGCCTATGCTGGTTGTAGATTTGCAATAATTTATATTTCTCTTTATGTTCATCTATCAAGGCAAGAGTTTTCTAGGCATTGCTCCATTAGCAAGTCAAACTAGTAGTGATATCCATTTCTCATCCAGTCTGTGCTATGGCAGTATCTCAGTAGTCTAGTTCAGCTAATTAAGCCTCCAGCAGTTGCTTCTCGAGAACTTTCTGGTTATTCTAGTGAAAGCGTGGAGAGTGCGGTCACTCCCATGCACACATCCGTGCTTGGCTACTCAACATGTTCTCAAACGATACTAGCATTGCGCATTCACTCCTCCGCATCGTCTGTCAACCGTGTTTGGCCCCAACACACAGCGGGCTCCCAGTCTCCTTCTCCCATATCATTTCTTTAACGCTCTCGCAACCCAGCTCAAACATACGTGTGCAAGATCCAATACTTCCAACACCAATATGACAAAATCGTCAGCACCACCAGCATCCGCGTCATCTCGAAAAGTCCTGTCATGTCTACCCAAAGCCAATCCAAGCCGCTTGAGGTATACTTTTCAGTGTATGGTTCTGCCCATACAAACCCAGTTATACTTAGCATTTCTGGTACAACCTGCCCAACCCCTACTCCTACCTCCACCCCTACTTCCACTTCCAGGTACACCCCTCCACCCTCACCCTCCTCCAGACCCGCACAACTAACACCACCCCCATCAACCAGCGGCGCCTCAACACCCTCACCCTGCTCTTCACGATCCTCTCCCTCGCCTCCCGAGATGCACAATCACAGCATGTACGTCCAAACCGACAAAGGCATATACTACCGAGACGAAGGAGAGAAAGACAGGAACGGGAACGTAATGATTCTGAAAGACCCTTGTGAAGACTGCGGGGGGGAAGTAGTCTGGGCGACCAAGGGGCCGTGGTTGTTGATTTGTCGGGATTGTGGGGAGATTCAGTAGGGATGAGCGGGAGGAGGGGAGAGTCGAAAGGAAAGAGCACAGTGAAAAAGAGTTCGGAGAGATGAGGGATGAGAACATGTGTACAAGTAGTGGCTGTGTAGTGCGCGAAGATGGGCTGTATGTATGTAACAGGTGCCTTCTGTTTATTGGTTTCGGCGCCACGAGGGCAATGGATGAGGTGTACTCTGTTGAAGGTTGAGACTACCAATACAAGGTATATGGATAGTGTCTGACTCGTTCTTCTGTCTACCCATGTTTCAATAACACTTTGCAAGTCTTCTTGACGTCTCGTTGAGATGCTGTCATGGACCCAAAGCGTACTTTATATCAGTCCTTGAACTATGAGCATCACGAGTGGTGCTATTTACCGTAGCATGGTAACCACATGTTGTGTAGTCTAATCATTCGCATGAACCTGGTCAAGGATGTAGACACTAGTGCATGTCCTGAGTGCCAATATAACGGGAATTCGTCATATCAAACTACGACCAGAAAGGATATCCCTTCAACTCCTAATTCCCAGTTGGACGGCCGCTGGAACTAGATGCGCGGACCCAGCGGGAGCAAGCGCTTGGGTAGAGACGCCGTTCATCCAAGCGACATCCCCATCAGGAAATCCCTTTGTCCCCAACCATGCGGGCCGTTAGAGTCTAGAAAGAGTTCCCGGTGTGATCAGACCGTGTTTTGGGTTTTGGAAGGAATGCGCATGTCGGAGATGAACTATTCCTTTCGGTCTTCGCCAATGAGGATCTTGGTATAGGGACTTGGCTATAGCTGGCCAGCGCGTATAGGCTTACGACAACGACAGATAGTAACATGGCGCTATGCTATCGACGCTATCGCATCGTTTCGAAGTCGACATCCTCGTGTACGATAGCACATCGTTAGGCCACCAGAAGTTTGGCACACATATGTCGAGATACGTTAGCGCCATCAAAGTCGACAGCTAAGCGTGAAGCGGCTCATCACACGCATATCCTCATCATCGTCTTTCGTGTCAGCAAACTCAAAGTTGGTGGCGCAACGCCCTAGTCCAGGCACACGTCCCACCGTGGGTCAAGATGTACACCGATCAGGAGGTATAACCACGAGGTCGCCTTATCGATAGGAATTAGGTTTGCCGTGCCGCATGTCTGCTTTCTTTTGGTCGATGGAATGGGACAAGCGACGCCCATCCCAGCGCTACTGCGACCAAAACGTCTGCTAGTGATGGTCAGGTGCCACACACCCTTCTGGTAGTATCGCCGTCATGGAGCCGACGGCAGCGTGTTCGTACTTTTTGAATGGTTTGGGGAGTGAGGTTTTATTGATTAGGGGGGTTGAAATTGATGCTCCAAACTCGAGATCGATGTTTACCTCACCGCAAATACACATTCGCGCCGAGTTTCCACTTGCATACAAACAAAATATGTAATTTGTCGCAACGAAGTCTTGTAGCCCATCAACCGCTGAGACCCGCTCCGGTATCCGGGAGCTTGAGCAGAGTGCGGTTCCTTAGTGTCCAGGGGACGATCAACGACCCTGTTGGTTATTGGTTCCCATCCGAGCGCTCTCGATGCAAGGGGTCGAGGGTCCAATGAGTGCTCGTAACCACCCACCACATGGAGGAAAAAGGATCGTGTCTTACATGCACTACATCCACTAGAAAGAGCTGCTGTATCGACAATGTAGACAAGATTGTGCAGAACGGCCTGGAAAGCTTAGTCGAACAAACAACCCTTACGTTGAATGTGCATGAAGGATTATTCTTCGTACACGTCGCAAGTGAGCTCGGCGCTTTGCTGCAATCCTCCATGCAGGCTGACGAGCTGTAGGAAGGAAGATGGACTTCTGACGAGAGCTTGACGAAACGTGGTGCTGACTGGCGCGCGGGTCCTGGTAACTTTGCTTTGCCCTTGCATAGTTTTCATGTAAAGGATTCATTTCGGAAGCGTACAGTCAGATCCAACAACAAACCTATCGCGCTTATCACCAAACAGGTGGTGTGAGCTGAATTGCAGTTCACATCGAGCGCCGGATGGTTTCCTGCTAACTGTATAGGTGTACAATCGACCAATAAGGTTCCTAACCGGGACGACATCAGAGGCGACCATCGGTCACTCCGTTGCGGGGTTCCAGGTCAGAGGTCGTCACGAAGTGGCGCTGCCTCCGGCGTGCCTCAACCAGCTGTCACTCTCGTCTCGTTGCAGTATGCCTTAGCGAAAGAGGGGCGCACAATCGAGGGGTCGGTGGTAGTAGCTAAAGCTGAACTATCAGCTCCTGCGACAACTGGCCAGAGCTCCGATAGCCAAGTATAGGGCAAAGAGACTGCATGCATGCTGATGTTGTCTAGATCTGCTAGTACCGCAGTGCAGGACGCTGATCGTTGGAAATCGGTCGCCATTCCGGTGAGCAGTGGTCTGAAGATATGAAGCCATGCTTTTCTCTGCGTCTGGAACTGCCGGTACGTAGGCGATGGTTTCAGGTGAGGTAGTAGGGTGTGGGGTTGAAGCATCTGGTTCGTCTGGGGAAGATGGCGGCCTAGACTTTGGACCGGTCGAACAGCCGGAAGCGAGCGGGAGGCAACGAACGGCATTTAGATCACGTTGGACGACCATCTGAGTGGTTTACAGCACGATGAACTTTTTTCTGTTGGGAATGCGCGTGGTTGGCTGTAAGCATATCGAGAGTGCGGCTCTGCGGACCCAGGCGGCGCTCCTTCGTTGTGTACACGTCGCTGGGTGAGGGATTGCATTCGTGTACAGCCAGCAAATTACCCGGCCCACCTAGAAGCGCAATTTCCCGCATGTACTCGTTGCCTTGGTTGCAGGGCTACGTCAAGCCAGCGAATGTGCCGATGGTGCTCGTGGCATTATGACGATTGCTCAGGATAAAAAAACAATGCTCGCTTCGCTCGGGTCTGAGGTTTGTCTGTGTGGCTGTCAGGTGGTGTTCAAGCAGGGGAGGCGCAGCTGTGGCGGCGGAATGTTTATTGGCTGTAGTGCCGGCAAATCTCAGTGCGCTTCCCCCTTTGGGCAAGAGGGCAAGAGACAGGCCGGAGATTGCCAATTTCGTCCTTCCTGAGGATCAAAACAGACGTGAAACGAGATTCGCAATTTTGGGTCTCCGTACGCCTCGCAACCTGGCCAGCGAAAACAATACTTCCAAGAGTCGGAGTATCCTAGGAATTGTGGATGGTCGGATGGAGCAACCTCCGCTGTCCATCTCATCGTACATCGACAGGCGCGACCTTGCCCCTGACTTCAGTTTGGTAGCCACGCGTCATAGAGGCCGTTGTTGACGATACGACGCTGCTTGACACTGACAAGTAACGACGCGTCGGCGGGCGCCAGCGGAAGGTTTGGTGCAGGGAGTTTGGCGCGTGCAAACCAATGGACTGACCCGGAGACGTTCGCATGGTGTGGAGCAGCGCCGTGGCTGTGCAGTGCCATAGCTCTTGTATAGTGATCGCGCTGGCGCAATTCCAAGAATAATACAAACGACTCTATGTATGTAGAGTTTTCGGGAAAGCTGAGGCGCGGTGCGTGGATGCTGGAGGAAGCTATCGGGTCCTGTACCCAAGAATGAGGGGATGACCTTTGTTGCACGATGCTTTTTCGTTCACCGCTCCACTCGACACGCGATCGGAAAAAAGAAAGACAGATCTAAATTCGACGGCGCAGCATGAGCGTTGCGATGGTCGTCACAAGGACAGCCGTTATGTGCACTACGCTCCACAGATCGGGCTGTTAGTACCGAGCGGCGCGATACGTGGTAACCTTCGGACTCGTTTCAAGATTGGAATCGTCGTATCCTCGCAAACATGCTCACTATGGGGGCCTTGGCAGCAATGTTTTCCGTCTGCAAATGGCAGGAAGCCGTGGATCAAGAAAAATG